CTTTCTGGACCTTCTCCTTGTTGGCAAACACATCCTCGGCCTCTGCAACTACGAGGGGGGGGGAAATGACGTTGGAGAAGTCCTTCTTCCCCCCCATGGTGTCCCATTAACGACTGAACTGCAAACCAAGGCCCAGCAGGAGAGCAGCACAGAGCCACGCTCTAAGCACTGCCAAAAGTTGATTCTTCCCCCATCACAAGCTCCTTCACAGTAACCCACAAAGCTCACATGACAACACACCACAAGCCGTGGGCAGGACAGTGGCCAGGCACTGGCATTGATTGAGATATTTCCCTAGCAGGCCTGGGTCTCTGGGTCTTTAAAAGGCTTGCTTAACTTGGCATAAAAGTCTAGTTGCTTGACTGCATGGTAGAGCTTTAGCTAGCACTCCCCTGGCCTTGTCAGTCCACTTTCAGGGAACTAAGGAGGTTTCCTTTTTGATATGGAGATGCCACAACACACACACACTCTGCAAATCCGCAGCCTTGACCGCTCCTTATCAGAAATTGCTTCCTCAGGCAAAAGGCAGCAATGAGCTGATGCTTTGATATCAGATGGAGAAGGACCCTCGGCCATCCAGGCAGGAATAGTTCCTTCTAGCACACTGGACTTCATGATCGCTTAGCACCTGTGCAAATAGTGGAATCAGAGCTATTCCAGTAATCATATCTTTTAACTGGTGTTGATTCAAGGTGTTGATTATAACCTATAAAGCCCTAAACGGCTTGGGTCCTGGCTACCTGAACGAGCGCTTACATCCATATACGCCCGGCTGCCCCCTGAGATCTGCGGGAGAGGCCCTTCTCCGGGAACCCTCCATGAAAGAAATTAGGAGAGTAAGTACTCGGAGGAGGGCTTTCTTTGCGGTGGCGCCCAACCTATGGAATTCACTCCCCAAAGAGGTCCGCCTGGCACCCTCGTTACTGGTTTTTCGGCGCCAGGTAAAGACCTTTTTATTTAAACATCATTTTAATTGTTAAAATATATGATCTGGCCAAGGCAACTTCTTCTTCCTTCTCTTTTCTCCTCCTATATTATTTATTTACTTATTTCATACTGATAATTTTAATTTTATATTATTATGTTTGTAACTCAGTGTATTTTTTTGTATTTTTGTATTTAATGGTAATTTATTATGTTCAATTGTATTTCAATGTATTTTATTGTGTTGTAAGCCGCCCCGAGGCTTCGGCAAGGGGCGGCATAGAAATGTAATAATAATAATAATAATAATAATAATAATAATAATAATAATAACAACAACAACAACAACAACAACAACAACAACAACAACTGTGTAGAATGCTGTATGCATAGGCTGAATACCAGAAGTCTCTAATCTGCAAAAGCTAGCCACTACCTTCGTTCTCGGTTTCGGACTGTTTTCAAGGGGGATTCTCCTGCTTCTCTCTGCACCCAGCTGACTGGGATCCTGCCTTCCAGGGGTCCCCACTGTAAGAGGTTTGCTGCTAAATGTAATGGACGTCTAGTGAGCATTTGCCTATTATTGCAATAATAAATAATCCCCTTCTTGATAAACCTGACTCACTCTCTGGGAATTCCAAAAAACCCACCGCCCATGGCTGGGGCAACACAATCACTCTCTTTGCGTGATGTTGGAAAAGAGCCCTTTAGGACCCCTCGCGCTGACAGCAGGAGTGCTGGTGGCAGCCCTGGACAGTGGAAGATGGTTTCCAGGAAAATACCTTTGGGACTCGTTGCAAGGACGCTGAAGGTGAGCTTCTGGCCAGAGGCCTCGCAGGTGTACTCGCCCTCATCCCTCTTCTCCACCTGCTGTATCACCAGCCGCTGAGATTTGCCTTCCACTTCTACCTTGAATTTTTCCCCGGGAGAAATCGGTTTCCCATCTTTGAACCACTTCACGTCCATCTTGGCCTGGGCCACCTCGCAGCTGAGGGAGGCGTTCTCAGAAAGGACCGCCTTGATCTCTTTCTGGACCTTCTCCTTGTTGACAAACACATCCGCAGCTTCTGTGGCTACAGTGGTTCAGGTGTAGGACAGAGGAAAGAAGAGAAGAAGTTCCAATAAACCCACCTTCTCTTAAAAGCGATATAAGTTTTCCCATTAACTGTGCATTTGGTGTCTTTTTCCCAGGTGTGGAACTTGGCATTTGCCCCTACTGAATTTCATTCTGTTCTTTTCAACGCAGCACTCCAACCCATCAAATTCACTTTGACTCTTATTCTGTCTTCCAGAGTATTAGCTACCCCACCCAATTTTGTGTCCTCTGCAAATCTGAAATGCTTCCTCTGTGCTTCCTCATCCAAATCATTAATGAAAATGTTGAAGAGCACTGGGCCCAGGACTGGACTCTGCATGGTTGCTTCTCCCCAGTTTGAGAAGGTGCTGTTGATCAGCACTCTTCGATCCAGTTTATGGCCGACCATGGATCCAGCTGGTCATTGTTCCCTCCAGCCCCACTTTTAGCTAGTTTGCTAATCAGAAGATCCTGGAGCATTTCGTCAAAAGCTTTGCTGAACTCAAGTCAGATTCCGTCCACAGCATTCCCACAGTCCATCGGGGAGGTTACCCAATCAACAATGGAAATCAGTTAAAAATGAAACCAGATGAAAGAGTTATACTTCCTAGAAGACACTCCTTTAGATGAAGGACTGGCTACTCAAAGTCCAGCTGAAAGACAAGGCGGTCAAGCCGGCAGGGCCCTGAAACTTACTGACCAACAATTTCAACCCGGGCAGGAACTTTTGCAAGTCCTTTAGAATTCCTCTCCCATGAAAGTGAAACGTTTTGCATTTCTATTTGGAATAGTTATTATTTCTCCATTTGCATCTACACTGATAAATTACAGCAGGCGAATGTTAAGCCAAGCGCTGTCCTCTTCTTTGGGTGATGCATTTCCTCTAGTTTGACAATGGGTGTGTGGCCATCCTTTTTTCTGGTTCTACTCCCTTTGGAGTTTGACATTGCTCAATTTTAGCTCCTCCACTGGCTCCACCCCGGCACAACCCCTTCTTGATTTTTACCATGTGTCAAAGGCCCTTTTTGGGAGAAACATCGCCCACCCTTGTAACAGAGGCGGCCTCTTTTTGTGCCATGTGGAGTGAATCCTCTTCAGGACTGGGTTCGGATTCTGCACTGCAACTGCTTTAAGCAGAGCCGCTGGGCTGCCAAACGTAAAGCTTGCGGGTTTCTTGAGACCCTGTGGCACTCGGAGCCTGAACTTCCGCTCCGCTTCTGCACAGTCACTACGGAAGCACCTGCAGTGCAAAGCAGCAATGGCCCAAGGAAAGCAAAGGGCCAAACCACCACCAATTGCCACCAAATGCCTCAGCATCTCCCCTGTGAGGCGGGCCAAACTGGAGTTTGTGTATTGTGGGGCCCATAGCAGCAAGAGCGTCCCTGGGAAGGGAGGATGGAACAGGTCGTGCCAGCCAAGGAACAAAGCATCGTCAAGCACAGGTTAGGGTATTCAGGAAAATAAAGACACCTTTGGGAGTCTTTGCAGTGACTCTGAAGGTGAGTTTCTGGCCAGCAGCCTCGCAGGTGTACTCTCCCTCATCCTTCTTCTCCACCTGCTGTATCACCAGCCGGCGAGATCTGCCGTCCGCTTCGGCCTTGAATTTGTTAGTGGATGTGATTAGCTTCCCATCCTTGAACCACTTCACATCCGTGTTAGCCTGGACCACCTCACAGGCAAGCGCTGCCTTCTCCGACACAGCCACCTGGATCTCTTTCTGGACCTTCTCCTTGCTGGCAAACACCTCCTCTGGTTCTGGGTGGGAAGAAACCAAGAAACAACCGCAGCAGAGCTGATTTGGACCCTTGGCTAGGCAAAAAGCGCAGGATTGTCCTTCTGAGCCCGGCTAAATAGGCATGTATTTGTGCATGGCTTGGCTGCACGGGCCAATGTTTTATTTGGTTTCTGGTGCTGCAGTGAGGGATTTACTGAACTGTATTGCATTTGTAAATTTAAAGTGATAATCGTAACCTAATTCACGCAGTGTGGGCTTCACGTGGGTTTTTAGCTGCCTTCAGCCCCCTGCCAGGAAGACAGGGTGTGGCCGTGTGTGTGAGCACATACACACAACCACGTCATGGCTGCTCACATGCGTGTTGCAGTACAGTTGTTTGTAGTCGCGCTGCACCTTGTTTCAGTCGATCTTTTCCCCCTCCACGCCACCCTCGCGTTATGCTCACTGTCTGCCCTGCTCTGGATCAGAACATGTCAAAGAACTGCTTCCTGCAAGACCGTGAGGCTCACAGGGTGGGATAGAAATCAAATAAATTATAAATAATAAAATTTGGAATCAGATGGGATAGGATCAGGCCAGGAAAACAGGCGTGTAAAGAGTGCTTTCTCTCCTCAGTGACGATCTGCAACCTATCCCCACAAACACAGAAGTGGCAGGCCATTACTTTACATGTATATCTATTCCATTTATTTCATTCCACTGATATCCCACCCTCCAGGCTCCCAAGGCAGCTTGCGTAATCCTCTTCCTCTCCAGTGCATCCTGGCAACAACAACCCTGTGAGGAAGGGTCAGGCTGAGGGCCAGGGACTGCCCTGGAGTCTCCCAGAGAGAAGCTGGATTTCCCAAGCCCCAGTTCAGCACTCCATCCCATACACTCCACCTTTGAGGAACGTTCCTTTATGGGAAGGCATCATCTATTGAAAGGTCTCTCCAAACAAGTTTAAAGATGTTGGAAACTCCTAACTCCTATCCACTGATAGTCCTCCTCCTGGTATGACTGGGGCTCAGGAGATGCAGGTTTCAGACCCCTCTTCTATGAAGACCACAAGGGGGTCTACAGGACGCCAGAAAACCTGGCGAAATCTTGCGAGGGTTAAGTCCGTTGTGTGCTCCTGACCCTCTTCCAGAGTCCCTCTTTTGTAGGAGTCTTCTTCTGAGAGCGCAGAGAGAATTCAAACCCTCTTCATGGGTGTCCATGGTTCACCGCAGCTCCCCTAGTCACCCAAACCCCAAATTTTCATTTCACCATGGCTGCAATGGGCCCTTCCACCCATTGGGCCCTGCTGCCCTCAGCTCTCTAGCGACAGACACCTCGTGGCTTTCTTTATTCTGACTGGCTGGGCGACGTGGCCACACCGAGAAAAGGGGGGCTTGTGGCGCTGGTGTGGATTATCATGGGATAGAAATCTCTGTGAGGGCTAGAGAGCCTGGGAAGCGGGGTCCCAGCTCAGGGCCAATCTGAAGGAAGCTGTTAGGGTCCACAGGCCAAAAGAAGGGAAGGACAGAATTTGGCTCGCGGGGCTGCCAGGCGCGGTCAGGAGGATGGAGCAGTGATCACAGAAACCGCTGGATTGTCTGAATGGGAAGCCCAGGGACAAATTTGCCATGGAAACTGTGCAGGGATATTTGGCATTTCCCGAGAAACCAGCCTGGGTAACCAGTGGCAAAAGGCAGGATATACATTTATCGGGGAGGGGGGGATTTGTGCCCTCTTTCGGTGCCTCTTTTGGGGTGCTCTATTTCGATTGCCTTTCTTTCTGGGCAAATGGACTGGTTGATTTCAATTAAGCAGCACCACCTTCTACCTCTCCCAGAAACGCAGCTTCTGAGAGCAACTAGGCGTTATCCTGCCGAGTCCTCTGTATCATTCTGAATGCACTGCATCCCTGTCGCCACCAACAGCCCTGGCAAAATGGCACGCCTTTGCCCCGCCTTACCTTTGACCTCCACCTGGAACGTCAAGCTGTCGTTCATCGCCTCGCAGGTGTAGATTCCTTCGTCTTGTTTCACCGCACTCTTGACAATGAGCTTGCGCTGGGTGCCCTGAGAGGTGAAGGTCACTCGCTGGTCCGGCTTGATGTCCTTTTTGCCCTTCTTCCATATGACAGCCTCCGTTGCTGAGGCCACCTCGCACACCAGCTCAAACTTCTCTGAGAGCTGGACTGAAATTCCAGGAGCCGACTCATTGAGAAAGGTCGCTACTTCATCTGGAAAAGGAAGGTGGGGGGCACCGGAGTGGTGGGGGGGTGGGCACGAACAGAGAGAGGTTACAGCTGAATAGCTTTTGGCACAAGCTATTCTATGGAATGCGCTCCCCAGAGAGGTCCGCCTGGCACCGTCGTTATTTGTTTTTCGGCGCCAAGCGAAGACCTTTTTATTTAAGCGTCATTTTAATTGTTAACAGTATTTGCTTATTTATCTGGCCAGGGCAACTTCTTTTATATTGTTATTTATTTTATATTGTTATTTTATATTTTATATTGTTATTATTGTAATTTTTATTATGTTGTAAGCCGCCCCGAGGCTTCGGCGAATGGGGCGGCATATAAATGTTTTAATAAATAAAAATAAATAAATAAAATGATTTTCAAGACGAAATAACAAGCGGCATCAGAATGACGTTTCAGAATTGGAAGCAGAGTGAAAATAACAGCAGCAAAGCTGGGGTTGGACAACGTGCGTCTGGTGCAAATTCAAATGTGTTTGAGAACGGAGGGATAATGCTGCATAGAAAGGCTACGATACTCAGTCGGTCCCTTGGTCCATCTTGATACTGAGTGGAAGCCACTGGTAGGAATGTGCCAAACCTCCCCGGGATCTGGTCCTCACGTGCCCGTCAGGCTTCTTACAATGCTTGTCCCTCACCGAGAAAGAGAATCGAGCACGGAGGAAGTCAGCGAGCATTCACGGATGCCACTGGCATGCCTGTTAGCACTGGACTAATCGGTTGATTGAAATGTGCTGGACTGCAACTCCCATAATTCCCGGAGGCATGGAATCCAGTGCATCTGCAGGGTATCAGGTTAGGAAGCCTGACGGAGACCCAGTTCAGATGCAGCCTTCTCAGTTTAATCAACCAAGTTTTTTAAAACTTGGAAGAAACTTGATGTGTGTTGTCCCCCTTCAGCACATCGCTGGGTTGTTTAAGCCAGTTTCCCACTCCCTCTGAACCAGGAAGCTGTAGTTTAACCTCAGTTTCCTAATAGTAAGAAAGGCCAGAATATGCATGGTTTTTAGCAGGCTTTGAAACTCAGTTCTGCACTGCTCTCACCTCCACATTAGGAGAACCGCCTGAGAGTGTGAACTGTTTGGCAAGGGACCAGGCTGTCCTGCACGCTGGAGGATTCCCTTTTGCAGGAGGCTGGACAAGCAATGCCGTCACTGAAGGCTTCTCCAACCCAGCAAGGATGGACTCGGTTGCCCCAAGTTTCCTCGCCACTCAAAGATCACCCCACCCCAAAAAATAGTCCCAAAGGATGCACATAAGAAAATACCTTTCAAACTGATTGTGGCGGTGCTTTCAATGTTATTGGCGACAAATTTCACCTCTGCCCCTTTGAAAGCGCTTGTGACCCGCTTGACGGTGAGGCCGTGGCTCGTTTTTGTCCTGGTAATGATGTATTTGTCGCTGTTCTGTAATGCTTTTCCATTGATGAACCACGAGCCGAGACACGTGGTAGTCAGGTCAATAGTAAAAGTTGCATCCCTGCCAGGGACCACTTCGACACTTCTCAGAGGGTTTTTCACGGCCAGAACGGGTTCTATGGGATATAAGAAGGAAACACAAAAGTTAAAAATACCCAGATCTTCAATGGAAAATAAAGGAAACCCAACTCAGATCTTGCCAAATCTTTAAATTGTTGAGTGCTTTGGGAGTACCTGTATGGGTTCATTCCAATATTCCTAATCTTTAAATATCCCAAATGCCACTGCTTCTTATTAAGGTTTAATCAGTCCCCTCCTTCCCTAAAAGCAATGGCCATTTCTGCTTAAACATTTTCTGGATCATGGATGTCCAGCGAACTCGACCCTCCAGGCCATGAAGCCAAGAAAGGGCGTAACTACGTTGGACAGCACGCTGTGAATGAGATCATGAAGATGCGGCCAATGCAGTTCTCACGAGTCTAGTGTCTAATAAATATGAACAACAGTTCATCATGCCACAGAGTTAAAAAAAAGAACAATTTTGAGCAACACTGACTTTAAAAAACAGAAAAGACCCAACCTCTCTTGCTAGTCAAAGAGAAGTTTTGGGACATGGTTCATCCCACGTTGGTTCTCCTCACTCTTCTTCACTTCCTCGTGTCTTCGTCTGCTTTCTCCTCTTCTTCCTTTCTCTTTTGTTCATTCTGCACTTCCCAGACTCACCCTCTCCACTTCCTCTCCCTCTCCAGGAACCACCAAACCAACTTTCCCTCTTTTGCTCTTCCCCAACTTTCTGCAGGGGAGTTAAGATCTTGCCCCGGGCAAATTCCCCCGGGTGGCCTTCTACCCTCGTGGGCCTCTGCGAGTTTACCTGGCGGCATGAGGTAACCAACGGGCCACCATTTAAATCCCGCACAAGGTCTCCCAAATAGCACTGCCATGGCATCGCTGGCTGCATGCCCCTCCTTTCTTCTCCCAGCTTTATGACATGGCTGGGAAAGGCCAAATGAATCCTCAGATAAAAAGATATGCTTTTCGTGTCCTTCAATACACAAACGGGCAGCAGCACCCTTGCTGTTCTCCACTCCAGGGAAGAGAACTTTTCTCCCAGCTCACACACCTGAGAAAAGCAGGCAGCCCGGAGGCTCCATTATTCATGCATTTTCTCGCAGAATATGGCAAGCTGTGTCCAGTTAGCTCACCTGTCCAGCCAGCTCACCAGCTGCTGGGAGCAGAGCCGAATAGGTTCTCCTGCCTGATGCTAACATCTCTCCCTGAATGTCAAAATCCAGTATGATTTGTTATTATTCATATCGCTCTACTGTTTGCCTTGGCATTAATCGCCAATCACCCATATTCCTGTAACCTGATGTTATCTTTACACCGTTCTGTTTGTTCCTGTGTTGTTCCTTGCCCTTTCTTCCACCATCATCGCCCTTGCTACTGTGTATGTGACCACAACCTATAAAATGTTCTGCGCATGCTCAAGGAACATGTAGTCCGTTGGCACACCGGCTACACAGCAGCAGTGGTTTAGTTTTGCCCCTGTCAGAGGAGTTCTGGGGTGACGTCATCAATAAACTGCTGCAGTTCAAGTGCAGCGTCTTCCGTGAGGATCCAAGCCTACATTCTCCTGTTCTGCAATTCCAGCATCTCCCGACATCGTTAAAAGGAGTCCCTACTGCTCTGTGGCGGGAGGCAAGGTCAGTGAAACCTCCGTGCAAGGACCGTGGCTCAGGGGGCGAGGAAGGGAGTCTGCCCACAGCATGCTAAGGGGGAACAGGGAAGACAAGTGCTGCGGAAAGAGGGCATCACACGCTGACCCACACACAACAAGGCCTGTTACAGCCATTGCTCTCTGTTTCGCTTATGCCTACTTGCTGTGCCACCAGCTCCCCGGAGAGCTTGATGGAGGTCCTGAATTATAGCAGAACTTTCCATTCTTGCTCGATCAAATCTGTGTTCGTTTTATTATTAAGCTTGTGGGCATGTCGCGAGCAGAGCCGGCTGGAGCCGGGGGACAGACTAGATGGCCTGGGAGGTCCCGTCTGACTCGCTCTGTTTCTCTGTTCTACTGCACTTATTGTCCCTCAGGAGTCTCTAAGCGGTTTACAACACAAGCATAGATGAAACAGTACAACAATAAAATATGCAAAACCAGCACAACAATAACAGCAATATAAGAGCTGAGAGTTAAAGCATGGTGAATTAAAACTATAAAAGCATATACAATCCTTTAAAAAAAAACAAACTGGATGCACTAAAAATCAATTATCAAAATGGAGCCCCGGTTTGCCTGGCATCCAGAATACGGAGATGAAGGTGCCAGGCCCAGTCCTCACGGGAGGCTATTCCACAGGTGGGGCCCAGCCACCGCGAAGGCCGCAAAGAGCCGCCTCGCCTCCTTGGGGTGCCTCTTCCAGGAGGGCTCCAACCTGGTCTTAGGGGTTGGGCAGGTGCATATGGGAGCAGGAATTCTGGTCCCAAGCTGCTCAGGGCCTTGTCTGCTGAGACAAGCACCTTAAACTGGCCCAGGAGCTTAACTGGCAACCCATGAAATTAGTCAAGCATTGGGATGATGTGGGTGTGCTTGCGCCAGCAGTTGCGCTGCATGGTTCTGTACCAGCAGACGCTTCTGGAGCATCTTTCAGGGCAGCCCCACATAAAGCGGGGAGGTCACCAATCAAGAGGATGCCCAGGCCCTTCTGACTCGCTCTGTTGCTCCGTTTCAAGCATGGGTGACTGCGGCCAGGCGCTGTCTGTCCAGGTAGAGCCGGGGCCGATAAATCAACCGCAGCTGAAAGAAGGCGCTCCTGGCCACCAAGCCTACCTGAGACTCAAGGAGTTTTGGTGCAGGAGCACCCCAAGCTTCGGACCCTGTCCTTCAGGGGCAGCGGGACCCCATCCAGGACAGGTTGAAAGCCCCCACATCTGGGCAGGCAGACCATCCACCAGCAGCACCCCCATCTCATCTGGACTGAGCCTCAATTTACTGGCCCTCATCCAGTCCATGACTGAGCTCAAGCAGTGATTCAGGATGGAAACTCACCTGGGTTTGATCAGAACGAGATGTAAAGGTGGGTGCTATCCGATTACTGATGGCACCTCGTGCCCTGGCCTCTGAATGACCTTTCCCAGCAATTTCATGTAGAGGTTGAAAAGCATGGGGAACAGTATAGAGCCCTGTGGAACCCCATGCTGTAACTGCCATGGGGCAGAGCAACTGACCCCCAGCACCACCTTCTGGACACAGTGAACCAGAGAGGAGTGGAGCCACTGCAAAGCAGTGCCCCAATTCCCAACGCAGCCAACCTGCCCAGAAGGACACCATGTTCAATGGTGTCGAAATCTGCTGAGAGGTCCAGGAGAACCAAAAGAATCACACTCCAGCTGTCCCTCTCCCGGCAAAGCTCATCCCACAGGGAGACCAAGGCCATCTGTCCCACACCCTGGCCCAAGGCACAAATGCAACAGACCTAGATAATCTGTTTCATCCACAAGTACCTGGAGCTGCTTGGCCACCACCCCCTCAAGCACCTGGCCCAAAAGGGTGTGTATGGTTGGCAATGGCCCCTGGGTCCAGCTTGGGCTTTTTCCGGCATGGTCTTCTCACAGCCTTCTTCAAGGGGGCTGGGACCACTTCCTTTCCACGGCTTCTTCAGCCCAGGCATGAACCCCCTTGCTAGATTTCTTAACAAGCCATGATGGGTGAGAGTAATCTCAAAGATAGCAGGCGTTTGGTCACTCTGGACTCACCAAGGTGCAGGGTTCCTGGGAACTCAAGGTAGTCACTTTGGCCATAGCTGTTGACCGCAGATACTCGGAACTGGTAGTCAGCCTCTTCTGTGAGGGTGTCTAACGTGAACTCAGTTTCAGGAACAAGAGCTTCGTGACACCTCAACCAGGTGAACCCGGTCAGTTTCTTGCGTTCCACTAGGTACCCATCAATGGGGATGGGACGTTCCATCTTAGGAGGGGACCAGGCTAACGTCACTGAGGTTTCTGTTTTATTTTTCACTACCGGATCAACTGGGGGATGAGATGGGGGCTTCTTTGGTGCTAGATAGGATGAGAAAGTGGAAAGACACACTCAGTCTGAAAAAGCACCCTGAAAGATACTGAATTTAAAATTATTTGTATCCTAGTTTCTTTTCTTTAAAGAGAAATTCCAAGGAATTAACACCACCGTAAAAGAGCATTAATTAATTAATTTACTTTACTCTTACTTTTGGTTTAACCACAACAGAGAAACGGAAGCAGAGCATAAAACAAGGCAAACTAGATACGATAGTGCAAAGAATCCAGTTTAGACTGCACAGGATGGCTATCAAAATAATTTGGACAGCAGCCCGCTACTTTCAACGAACCAAATTTCGCCACTCCCCTTCCTTCTTGCTGGGACATTGAACAAAGACTGTGCCGGGCAAGATCGGGCTGTGATGGGCCCCCAAACTTGGTGAGCAAGAGCCAATGTGGACTAGTGGTTAGAGCGCAGGACTGAGTCTAGACTGCTCCTTCTGGCAGCCTCCAGAGGAACAGCTGGATCGCGAATTCTTTTTCCTTGTGTCTGGTTCGTTGGCAAAGAATGAAGACAAGTTCAAGCGGTGGATGACCTGGAGCCATGGATGCGACACGGCGAGGAGGTCAGGAAGGCCTTGGCGGTGGCTGAGCAGCTCAGCCAGTTTAGCCCCAGGGGGCCTAGAAAGCCATGCTTGCAGCACCGTGGGGAAGGCTCCGCCACACGGTGCGACCTGTTCCACTGCAATGGACATCATCGAGTGGCCATACGTTTTTTATTATTTTATGTTACATTTCTATACTGCCCATAGCTGAAGCTCTCTGGGCGGTTCACATCATTCTAAGTCACCCATCCAGATTCCAACCAGGCCTGATGCTGCTTCGCTTCCAAGATTAGACAGGATCACACACTTACAGAGAATAGTCCTCTATTTGATGGGCAGCAAAGGACCAGCCTCTGCATTGAAGGAGTCCTGAATTCTCAGGAAATCCAGCCTCCGTCCAATTTAAAGAAGGAAGATCTCAGCCTCGAGGTCTCTCATTGAGTTAAACAGCAGACTGGGCAAGATCTCTGGTCCCCACAGTCCTCAACCAAGAGCTTTTATTTAAGTTAGAATCCTAATATTAAAGCTTGCATCTATACACAAATTAGCATGTGCAGAGCTTATACAAATCTGTGTCTTCTTTTTTGTGATGCATTTTCTCTTCCTTGGTGAGTCATAACTGGCCACCTGGAGAGCATGAAGCTAGAGGGCAGCTTCTATACCAATCCAAGAAATAATAAAAACATAAATAGCTGCCAGCCCCTTTTACATGGCTGCTTAAGCATTTGGATCCACAGCCACGTGCCCCAAAAATATGGCTACAAACGAGGGGGCAGGATTGTAGGAGTGGCTCCTGGGAAAACTACCCAGGTTGCACCAGCAAATGGGCCCTGAGGGATTTCCAAGAAGCTCCCAAGGCAGTTCTGTCATTGAGCAATCAAACTCAGTAGGACCCCAAAATTAAAAATCGGGAAACTTGGCCTGGTGTGTCCTCCTTTCCCTAGCTACCCACAAATATATCTCAGTGACACAAGATACAGTACCCTTCCCCCTCCCCTCTCCACGAGGTTGAAGCATGCCTGCCAATGTAACGTCCAGCTCAGGTTCAGCGCCTCGACTAAATACTGAAATGAGATCCTGGGGCCCAGCCCTTGACACACTGAGCTGAGCAGCATTTCTCCAGTGGCTCCCTTCTCCCTTACTGGATTCCCGGGTGCAAGCTCGTTTTATTCTGAATGACAGGGCTATTGCATAAGCGGCCACAGCACTGGCCATATTCGTACGTCATGCTAAGCCACCTGCAGATTAGCCAGCCTGGGCGGTTTGCCTGCAGGACGATCCAGCGTGTGTCCAACACACTCTTGGACCCACCATGGGTGGCCTGTCCCACTTCTTCTCCCACAGTCCTCCACCCAGTAGCCCAGGGAATCTGGTGGCTAAGACCACCTTGTTGCCCTTGACACAAGCCCCCTTTCCTCACGGTTGCCTTTCCTCTTTTTTCTCCTCTTTTCGGTCTTCCATGTGACGGCCTTGAAAGGGCCCAGCCTCACCACCAAACTCAAAGGGAGACCAAGAGACTTTCATTGTACGTTTCAAAGCCAAGAGACTTTGGCCTTGGCGCTTTCAAGGCCAAGAGACTTTCATTGTACACTTGCCCTGCCTCAGTCATGGAATTTGGGAATGGGCAAAAATGTTTTCTTTCATTTGAAAACCGCCTGTATTTTCCCACTCCTTCTTCCAATTCTTTTCATGCCACAAAAAGTCAGCCACCTGCTATGTCGTGCCAGCGCTTGCTTTTAACCACAGTCCTAAACGGCCTGTCTGTGCATGCCACTAAGCCACAGCGCGGTTTGTTGAAACCTGGCTTGTCGTCGACCCCAGTCCATGTCACAGCAGGCATACCTTGAGTTACTGAACCACAATTTGTGGGGATGTGTACCCACAAATGGAGAAGAGAAGGATCACGGGGGCCACCTCGAGCTCTTTGGCAGAAAACACACGATACAAACATAACAAATGAAAAGATAGCATTCCACATTCTTGCCGTGGCCTGAAAACAGGAGCAAATCAACATGCATGCATAGCGCCTTACACAGTGGAAGAAGAAAATGCAGCTCACCAGAGACAGTAAACTGGGTGGATGTTCTGCACTCGTCTGCCACAAATACGATCTCTCCTGAGTCCTCCATTTTACAGTCACGGATTATCATGTTGTACTCCTTGCCAGAAGACGTGATGGAAATTCTGCTGTTGGGCTTCAGCTCTTCCTTATTCTTCAGCCACCGGAAGTTCTGACACTTCTTTTCCAGTTCCACGCAGAATATTGCTGTATCCGTGATGCTTACCGCAGTCTTCCTGGGGAGTTTCTTGATAATATTCCCTTGGGGGAGGTGGGAGAGATTTAAAAAAAACAAAACCCAGCATTAATGACAAATACAAGAGACTAGAAAATCTAAAATTGTTTGCATCACTTCAGCTAAAAAATCTGTGCTGCATTTATGTACATGATGCACAAACAAATTTGCAATTTTGATCTGAGTATTCACAGTTTAAAAAATATATGGCAGAGGTCAACCCATGCAGACTGATCTCTCCTGAAAAGTGCATATTTAGGCTTGATATGGATTGTGCCCAGATTAGCTCGTTCTATCTATCTATCTATCTATCTATCTATCTATCTATCTATTTCCCTTTTGTGCCACATTTTATCTATGCATAAAAGAGTTACTTCTTCTGCCATGGTAGCCAGTGGCCCTGGTGTGCGGGCCACAGACATGCAGGTCCCAGAAGTAGCGCACAGACTCAGTTCTTCTCAAGATGTTCCAGGTTGTCCAATCTGTTGGCCAAGACCTGGCTGGGCTTCCCATTCTTGACATCCTTCCGTATGCTGAAGAACCAGCTGGGGGATCTTGCACTGGCGTGGGTTGTCCGTGTCGGTGACGGATTTTCTTCACCTCATCTTCCAGTGTTCTGGGGAGTTCTTGGTCAAGGCGACGTCTGTCCACACCCTTGACATCACGGAAGGCAACGGCTTTCTTGCGTTGTCCGTCAGTGTTGATGTTGAAAACCCGTAGGGTGTGATCTCTCTGGCACCATCCGGGCACTGAGCCAGTCCTTCTACATGCTTACGTTGAGTAGTGACACAACCCTATTTTCAAACATGCCAAGCACAACCATCTTTGCAGGGAAGAAATCCAGCAGGTCCAGATTCGTCACCTCCCTAGCTAGAGAGAAACTGAGGCCCAGGGAGCAGAACTTCTTCTTGGCTGTCGTGCATGAAGCCCCGACAGAGGCAGTGACTCACGAGGAGGACTTGCACTTGACACCCAGTGCCCAAGAGCCAACCCCACAACACAGCATAGGGGCAGATGTGCCAGCAGCTGCGCCTCCCTCTGACTCTCAGCCCGTAGAGCAAACGCCTGAACCCTCATCAAAGCCAGAGAGTCCTGAGAGGGAGCTGCAAGTCCTCCTCGTGAGTCTCTGCCTCTGTCGGGGCTTCATGCACAACATTGGCCCAATAAGAGGAGGGCGTCCTGTCCGTTTCACCCCAAAGGAAGACCTCCCTGCCCGATGAGCCCCACACAGCCCTCCCTGTGGCAGATGGTGGCAGATTCCATGAATTGGGGCGGGGGGGTGGCACCCTGGAGCAAGGCACATGCCGTGGGTTGCTAAGGGAAGGGGCATGTAATGCATTACCTGGGCAGAGTACTACCAACTGGGCCCTTTCTCTCCTTTGAACAGGCTCAGCAAGGAGCATAATCAACAGTAAGTCTAACATTACAGAAATTGCTTTGGGAGACCTCACATGACCCTTGTCTGGAACACGTATAACAGTGGCAAGTTCCTTCTGGCTGGCAGAACAGGCTGTCCATTACTGCCCACTGAGGTGCAGCTTGAAGCTACAAAAGCAGCCTCCAGATGTGCTGAATTACAGGTCCCATCATCCCCAGCCACTTGGCCCTGAAACCATCAGGTTGGGGGCGGCAGGTCTGCAGACCCTGGAATCCCAGTGCATGACCTGAAGGCACATGAGCTAGCCACTGTGCTGAGCTGATCCGTTTTGGGTTTGGTCAGCATTGGAGGGGAACCACATGTAGCTTCCTTGAATATTACAATGGAAGAAAAATGGATATAGATGCAATAAAGAACTAAGGCTGGAATTCCAAAAGCTTGCAGGAGGAAGGAGATACACAAGCACTCTCCAAGAACCTGTAAGTTTGTCAGCCAAAGGAGGACAGGCTCTCTTCTCGATCATCGCAGAGTGCAGGACGCCGTATAACAGGCTAGAGTGACAGGAAGCCAGAGACTGGCTGAACATCAGGAAGAACTCCCTGACCGTTGGAGCAGTATGACAATGGAACCCATGACCCATGGAGGTCATTGGCTCTCCCACACTAGAGGCATCCAAGAGGCAGCTGGACAGACGCCTGAGAGGGATGGTTTACCTGGAGTCCTGCGGTGAGCAGGGGGTTGGACCTAATGACCTTCCCGGCACCTTCCAACTCTACGATTGCATGATTCTCAGGCCCAGTGGTGGTCTCAGCAGGTTCCACACCCTACACCAATCCACTTCCTCTCCAGACTCCCCTCAAAATGTCCAGTGCCAGGATCGCACCACAGAGTTCCCCACACCTTTCTCCTCCAGAGCACCATGAATTCCCAGCTGTGCTCCTCAAGAAGTGAGCCTTTCCAGCTGTTCGTGCAGCAAGGCCAGGAATCTCTTCCTCCTCCCATAGGGCACCTGCCCAGGTCCTCCTCGTACACCACCCGCATGCATCCTGTTACCGACACCTACTGTGCCGAGGGCAGTGACATCCGGGATGGCCAACTTACCCCAGTTGCAAAGAGGAGGAAGCAGCAGAGCCTTTAGGGTCCCTGGGTGTTCCCAGGGGCCTCGGGGGCAAGAAAGAAGAGACCCTGGGCCACAGCTCCTGCTCAGCCAGTCCTGAGCTTTCATAATTGATTTGGTTTCTCATCCCCAGCAGGGTCAGTGCAAAGCATTTTGCTGCCTGAGGGTGGAGGAAACGGAGCCCACTGGGATCATCCCATGAAGCTGAAGGGTGGAAGATTCAGGACAGATGAAGGAAGCTTCTTCACTGAGCACGTGGCTGAATTATGGAGATTGCAAGCACGTGGAATCATGGACCCACAGCTCAGGAGAGTGCCAAGGGGCCAAGGAGGTCACTGGGGCCAGCCCCCTGCTCATGAGTGCCACCCAACTGGATGGCTTAACTGGAACCGGATACATGCACGGATGATAAGGCCATCCATGAGGGCCACTCGTCATGACGGATCACGCTACCTCCAATACCGGAAGCCATCTGGCGAACATGAGCAGGTCGATGCTACTGCATTCATGTTAGACTTCAAAGTTTCCCACAAGGGGCTGATTGGCCACTGTATGGACCCAATGATGGACCAGACTGACTTCCGGCTCACCACGGTTCGTCTAGCATCCTTGTGGCAAGATGCAGCCCTTCCCTGTTCCATGGACAGAGGCAAGCTGGACGGGCAGTTGAATTTTACTTCCGTGCTGGTGGAGGGACAGCATCCTCCATGCCACTTGGGAGAGCTTATGAAGGGCAGGGCAGGCCAGGCCAAGTGGTGCACACGACTCCATTTTGCAACAGAGAGGAATCACGGGGTGTGGAGACGGATGAATGGCAAGCACATTATTTACTCTGCTCTCCCTCATGACGGCTGGCACTGGCCCCCACAGGTCTCTGCCTGCATCGGACCCAGCTGTGAAAGGTTTGTTTTACCCTTGGAAATATTTCTTGGCCACCTTCCTGGGCAGAAGCCCTCCCAGAACAGGGTATAAAAAATAAAATTATGCTAACAGTCTGGTCAGAAAGGCACATTTCTCTTTTGATGTCTTATGTAGTATCTCACCACTTTCTGAATTTTAAGTGAATGTTGAGTGGTTGAAAAGAGTGGTTGGGATCTTAGAGGATACAACACATAATTGCAGCGACCAGACTAGTTATAGCAAGTAAGTGGAAATCGATATTAGTTTTCATTTGGAAAAAGGGAAATTATGCACAATAAAATATTGGAATAAATTAGGAACACTAAAACGAGTGTGCCAGACAAGAAGCCAAAGACTATGCAGGCAAAATCCATTCCAGACATCTGAACCCAGAGGACTATGGAAATCCTGTGCAGATCCCCTTGGATGGCCAATTTCAACTGTCTAAATTTGGCACTGCAGAGGTGGAAGGTGCCTGGGGCAACACCAGGGTGCCTCGCATCCTGGCTAAACCAGGCTCCTCTTCTCTCCATTCCCCAGAACACACCCAGAAGCCCATCTCCAAAGTGACCTCGGAAAAGCACCCAGAACTGTCCATTCTGTGCTGGCTGTGAGTCTGGGGAGAGGAACTGGAGCTCTGATTCCCAGTGCAAGCTTGGAATGATTTCCCTACCTTGTGGCTTGGGATCCAAGCAACCCTATGTCCAGAGGATGCTGTCATAGGATTGCTTGGTCAGTTACAATAGCTAGGGGTGTCCCTCTGGAGTTTGTCATCGGACACACTTCAGGGTCTGTATTGTCTCTAACACACTGGGGCATGCCAACCCACTGGCACGGGGAGCCCCAGATCCTACCCCTCCCAAACCACTGCAGTCCAATTCCTATCATGCTTCCCACAGTTTGCCTTAAAGCAATTCCACCAGTGCAGCAGCTTATGCATAGATTGAATTAACTATGGACTGACCTTGCAATGGGAAAGCAAAACTTCGCCCCCACTTACTTGCTAATTGGAAGACAGGCAAAATTCCTTCCCAGACCCAAGCACCTGTGGCTACCTCGGATCCACTGGAAGATCTGCATCACCAGGTGTGAACGGGTGGGGAAGTCACGAAGGCCCTATTTCATCCCGTGGGGGCTTTCTTTATGGGCCTCAGGCAGAGCGGAGCAGAGACGGACTGCAGCTGGTTCCACCCTGGCTGGTCTCCCACCTGCTGAGCCGCCTGGCCTTCCAAACAGCTCAGGGCCATTGGGCCACAGGGACACACAGCTGGCTGCAGCTGCCGGACCTGCCTTCTCTTTGCGCTGCCTCTTTCCTTTCCTGCCACCGGGACTCGTGCTTGCGCAAAACAGTGACTTACAAGTCACATCATGAAATCGCAATAACGAAACCACCGCAAACCATACCACCAAAACTGATGTTATTGCCACAATGAACCTCCGCCTTTTAGAAGCAGCCATTGGGTTTTGCTCCTCATACGGGCTTCAATTATGGTGCTTCTGCTCTGAGAATTTATTATTTTATTTATTTATTAAAACATTTTTATGCCGCCCCATTCGCCGAAGCCTCAGGGAGGCTTACAACAATTAGTTAAATAATTATAATTAAAAATATAAACATTAAAATAAAATACATACAATATAAAATAAGCCGCCCTGGCCAGAATCCACTGTGTGTGTTAGATCTGCGCTGCCAGGTAGGTCTTTCCTATCGAATCATGCAAACCGTCCATGCATTTCTTTATTTATCACATTTGCACCATGCCCCTTCGCCAAAAAGTCTCCCAGCACAGCTTTTCGCCCACGGCCAACGGCCCTGACCGCCAGTTCTCCCTGGGATCACGCGTGCTGTCAGGAATGAGCTTGCACGGGGGAGAGAGGGGTGGGCGAACGTCGTTTCCACTTACCTTGGACACTCAGCTCGGCAATGGTTCTGCTGCCTTCTTTCATTTCACAGATGTAGACGGCGTCGTCATCCATGGTGACATTCTGGATGGTGAGCTTCCGCTGTGTCCCTGTTTCTTCAATGTTGTACTTCTTGCTCTGTTGGAGTTTTGTCTCTTCTTTGAACCAGGTGGTCTCCGTGCTGGCAACAGGAACCTCACACTGGAAAGTCGCTGACTCCTTCTCCCGGACTTCCAGATCTCTGAGTTTCTCCTTGAAAGGTATTCTCGGTTCTTGGGAAGAGGAAGGAAAAACAGCTGCTTTGACATCTCAGGCAGAGCATGGAATCACGGATTACTCTAATGGGGGTTGCACAAGCACAGTGAAATCATACGGCGTGCGTGGCCTGATTGGAAGAACTCATGCAGTGGTATTCGGGTGCTGCAGTGGCCCTAGGAAACAAAACCGGTGTGGTGTGGTGTGGTGGTCAAGAGAATGGGACTGGGACTCTGGAGATCTGGGTTCAAGTCCCCACTCAGCCATGGAGCCAACTGGGTGACTTTGGGCCAGGTACACACTCTCAGCCCAGCCTACCTCACAGGGCTGTTGTTGTGGGGATAAGATGGAAAGCAGGAGGAGGAGGAGAATGTATGCCACTTTCCGTTCTTTTTTAACAATAAAAAGTGTGATAGAACTCTAATAAATAAATAATCAACCAGCATGAGCCATATTGGCTGGACATGATAAAGACGCACGAAGAGTCCTGCTGGGCAAGACCAGGATTCCCCTCACCTGGCATTCCGTTCACAGAGCGGCCCAAACGGGAAACTCACATGTGGAGCATGAGCGCAACAGCACTTGGTCACCCATGCTCCCCATCCACTGGCGTGGCTCTCACCACATCTTGTGGAAGTGAACTCTATAGCTCAACCACGCCCTACAGAAAGAAGGGCTTCCTTTTTTCTGCTCTAGATTTCTCTTCATCCAGTTCTATGAGATGACTGCTCTGCGGTCGAGTAGCATGAGAGAGGAAGAAAAATGTCCCCTTATCCACTTTCTCCACATCTTATTTATTTATTTAGTACGCCTCTATCATGTCTCCATAGAACTCGCCTTTTTCCTAAGCAAACCCAGATGTTGTAGCCTTCTTGCTCTAGCCCTTTGAGTTCTCTGCGCTTTTCCCAACTCTATGGTGCTTTTGCACCGTAGCTTTGTTATAAGGGCAATATGACACTGGCAACATCATTTTTAATTCCCTTCCTAAGGACACCCAGCCTGGGATCGGTCTTTTCTCATAGCAGCAGGTTGGGATCTTGAAGTTACCTGCTTGCGGTTAACACCTGGTAACCCACCGAACAAGATGCCTACACCTGTTCCTTGGCTGCAGTCTCCCTCACCAGGGCAAGATGTCCTGTGCTCCAACTCAAATGCAGTATGATTCTGTCCTTATTTCTAAATGGTGGGACCTGCATTCCAGTCGGTCTTGAGGAGACTGAGCTGGGGGACGGTTGCCATATCGGAGGGCTCTGCTTGCATTCTCAGTCTCAGCTGGCAGCCCCGTCTCCTCCAAGCAGCTTCTCCCCAGATGTCCTGACCCTGAGCGCTTGAAGGTCAGGTACCAGCTGTGCCACTCCCTGTACTTCCAGCGGGGTCGCCAGCGGGCAGCGGTCTATAAATTGCATGGTGACAAGCCACCTGTTGGAAACGGCACGCGGGGCTTATGGCATGACGCATGGCGTTCCCTCATCCTTTCCTTCGCTTGGACTATTTTGACTACTCAAACAATCAGCCACGTTAGAGACAGAGATGCTGCCTTTCAAATTAAGAGCTCAGTCGGCACTTTCCAAAACACGATCACTCTTCACCCCATCGGATTTTCTGTGCATAGAAAGCTACGTGATTTGAGCGCGATGACCTGCCCACGCGACTTCATTGTCAGAGCTCCCAGAGTGACCAGACAACAAAACAGTATCTATTCGAAACAAGGCGCTAAACCTCCGGCACCTGTTGGAGAAGTCTGGGCTACATTCTTTCTTCCTGAAAACCTGACTTTCCTCAGGTATGCTGATTTTGTTTATGGGGAGGGATTTAATTCGCACCCGTCCTTCTCCCCCCTGCACTCTGCTGTGGCATAGTCTTACAGCCCTTTTCTGAACGCCCAGATTGGTCCTTAGCTACCGTAGGAAAACCAGCTTCCAAGAAGGAATACCAATGAGGCCAGGATGGGGCTGAGCACTGCGTCCCCAGAACCGTCATTGGCTGATGATGGTGTCTGTCATAGTAGAATGCCTTCAGCTCTAGGAGCCCGGCTCTGGTGCCGTTGGGTCCCATGGCAGCACCGCGTACCTAGGTATGCGAACAGGGTTGGTCCCAGGTTGCTCAGAGAACCGTAGTTCCTGACCTTGCACCTCTGCCTAAAGAGCAAGCCTATTTTACAAGATGGGATATTGGTCCTTGATGGTGTACTGGAGACATTTTTGGTGCAGGCAGGGTTGATCTCCTCTAGGACTGACTGGTTTAATCTCTTTGCGGTCCAAGGGACTCGCAGAGTCTCCTCCAGCATCACAATTCAAAGGCCTCAATCCTTCGGCGCTCAGCCTTCCTTCTGGTCCAAGGATAGTGGCTACCAACTTCATGCAGCTGAAACACTGCTCATCAGTCCCCGGTACGTAATCCAACCAGGTCAGGATTGCACCAGCGCTCATAGCCAAAAGTCCACCCCACTTCCACAACCCACAGATATCCAGTGCAGGATTCCTTCCTCTTCGAACCACGGAAGAGAGAGTCGGTGAGCACTGGCGAATTGCGTGGTTGCGAGGTGAAAATATGCCTCGGGACATAAATGCTATGCCAAGGAACTGCATGAATGCCACGGCCCAAGAGGAAACCGTGGATCTTCCCATCTTTATCATACTTTCTAAGCTGTGCAAAGCATGGCTATAACTATATCTGAATTTGGAATATTTTGCATTGCTTGTGAAGCATGTCCGCCTCTTCTGAATACTCCCTTTCCTAGGGAACAGCAGAAAGAATGGGCAAGAAATTCTATTCCATCCCTGTTCATTAAAATCACCATATTCTTGGACTGCATTGCTTCCACGTTTTCAAAGCTGTTTGAGAGGATCGAAAAGAAATTTTAATGATATAACGCCAAGGTGATATACTAAGCCTCTCAAGGGTTTTTTTCAGGATTTTCAGCCACCTATTTTTCTGGTTTCTGGCCTTCTTGCAACCTATGCAAGCTCATCTCGCCCAGTTCTGTGCTGTGCAATATGAAACCAGATTATGCAGCTCCTGGTTAAAATAACCACACTTGTTACGCCAATCCCATCGACTCTTTCCTGCACCGTGTCCCAGCTGCTCAAATATATCTTAAATGGAAGAAGAGATAGTTGCTTTCTCACACACCCACTAAGAGAAGCTCTTTGTTGCCAGTGAAGCCTTCCCACAATGTTTCCAATGCAGGGTCTGGTTCTGTCTGTACAGCCCACTTCTGTTGTGAACTCTGAAAGGTGCCTTCACCTGCGGGCAAATATTTTGGGTTCGGAACAGGGCTGCTGTGAACAGAAGGAATATACCGCAGGGTCACAATCTCATGTGGTACTGCCATCAAGTGCTCACAGGTGGGTGATGTACAACTTGATTTTATGGGGTGCACTACAAAACCCTAATGCATTTCCAGAACTCAGGGGCCCCAAGGATTTAAGGAAAGGCTGTACTCAGTGGAAAAGAACACGCTTTACAAGCGATGCAAAAATTCCAAATTCAGTGCCTGGAATTTCCAGATGCACCTGGAAAAAACCTCCAGTCTAAAACCTTCCAGAGCTGCACAAGTCGCCACATAGAGCAGACCACGATGGGTTAGCTAGACCAAGTCTGACTGTCCACACAGTGCTATAATGCCTTGCCTGTGACCCAGATTTGACCCAAGAGTTACATACAAACATGCATCACACAAGAAGAGGGTACCAATCCTCATAACCTTTCCTGATGTCCAGCCTGAATCTGGATTCTCACAACTTGAACTGATTATTCCGTGTCCTGCACTCTGGTTTCAGCAGGAAGAGATCTTGGCCTTCCTCTTTGTGGCAGCCTTTGAGGTCCTTCTGGAGGGAGCTCATGTCCCCCCTCAGCCTTCTCTTCTCAAGGCTGAACGTGCCCAGTTCTCTCAGTCTCTCCTCATGGGGCAGTGTCTCCAAACCCTGGATCATTTTTGTTGCCCTCCTCTAGACCCTTTCTAATTTACCTGCGTCTTTCTTAAATCTTGGTGCCCAGAACTGGACACAGAGGTGGCTTACTCATCTGCCTGGCACTTTGGCCCGGACAATGGTGCTAGTGACGTGGAAGGCTTGGAGACGTCTCTGCCCATCGAGCCAGAAAGGGGCGGCCGTGATGGAAACCAGAAGGAGCAACGGGGGCTGCGGACCACGACAGTGAGGAGGTCAGCTCACTCAGGAAGTGGGCCCGGAGACCGTGCCTGGCCCAACATGGCCCTCCAAACCCGGGAGCTGGCTCTGAACGAACTACTGCACGCAGAACTGGGTGGACCAGCGCCCAGAGCACCCTGAAGAATTGGTGCTTCGGCGGGGTTGCCCGTGCCGGCCATTTCCCCCTGAGGCCCACTGAGGTCCCACTGAGCTGCATGGGCTAAAGAGGAAGCCGCCGGCATGGAGCTGCCTTTTGAGGCTGTGTTAGCAGCTGATGACACCTGTCACCATGAGAGGTGACAGAGGCCCCGTGGCTTGGGGCGTACAGGTTGCCAGACAGCTGCCGGGCCTTCACAGCCCTCTCTGTCACTGTCTGCCGAACGTCTGATGGACACAGACAGGCAGGGCTTAAGCGCCTTGGAGTGTGCTGGATCACTCATGGAAGGCAATCTCCCAGTGACTGCTAATGACCGAATTACGTGATATCAGCAGGATCCTGGGATGCCCTTGCAGCTTAACGCGTGTTCAGAGGAGCAATGGAATGATGTCATTGCTCAGACCTCCCATTCAGACAGACAGGCCCGAACATTTATCAAGGGGCAGCGCCTTCCAACCTTACGGTGGCTTCAGAAGGTGGCAGGCATAACAGAACCACCTGGTTGGAAGGGTCTGGTGGATGACCCTCATGCCACCACTACATCAACCAGCCCATCCTCCTCTTCTTCACCACCCCAGTTAACCTATTTAAGCCAGGGAACAGTTCCAGCTGATCCAAGAAAGCCAAGTGGAGCATTTCAAGGCAAAAATCCCACATCTCGGGCTGGATTGCTAGCATTCACAAGCCATCGCTGGTTGCAGTCGGTTTTAGAAGCACCACTGAAGCAGCACCTGAACTGAAATGTGAACAGCCTTAGAGGCAATTCTGCGATACGCATTTTGGATTCAGTGGTCAGAGTTTGGAGGGCACCTGGGCACCTTCAGGGGGCCCCTCCGTCAGGACCTCCACCTTCTCGCCTCCCTTCCACGAGCTCCATTCTGGTTTCCTCCTCCTCTTCACCAGCATCCCTACCACTTGCTTGCTTGGGAAGCAAAGAGCTGATGAGGAAGTAGACGGTGGCGCCTCCACTACATTCCGGCCAAAATGAAGGGCAGCCAAATAGGCAAACTGCAGTGGCGAAGAGGAGGGGCTAGTCTGGGCTGGGGGCCCTCGGCGGGGACCAGACCCAACCAAGTCTGCTTGGATGCCAACCCTATATATGGTGCAGCCACCAGACAGAGCTAACCTCAGTGGGAAAAGTACATGCCGAAGACCCCGGGCTCCAGCCTTGGTGCCCCCAGTTAACAGTTTGAGCAGCGGCCAATCCTAGGGTCACATGGGGAGCAAGGGGAAACAAGCTCCTTGCCTCTGGCAAGAAGTCAGCTCAACCCGCCCTGCAATGATAACGACTCCCAGTGGAACTGGAGTGTCAGAGCATCATGATAACTCAGCTCCATCTACGTACCTTTGACTGTGACCAGGACGGAGCTGTAGGTCTGGCCAGCTAAGTTGGACGCTGTGCAGGTGTAAAGACCGTTATCAATTTGCTTGCAGAAGAGGATTTTCAGCACAAAGTTCTCTTGCTCATCTTCATAGATTATGTGCCTCCGACCTTCCGGGATGACCTCCCCATCCTTCTTCCAAACTATCTCTGGCTTGGGCTCTCCCGTCACATAGCAGCTCATCTTGGCGTGCTTCCCCTCGGTGACGGTGAAGGTGCGCGTTGTCACACCATACAGAGCGCCACCATCACCCCGTAAGCTCTTGGATGTCAAGCTGGCAGCCCTTTCGTAATCGAGAGAGAGGCTCAGGCCGAGCTTGGACCGCCCTTCTGTAGAGGAGTACGCGGCAGAGATCAGAGAGTCGGCGGTGGACAGGTCTGTCTTCCTGATTTCTTCCCTCCTCTTTTGCAAGTGCGACAGCAACGGGGAAGTCTTGCTGTCCATATCGTGCCTGGTGCCACCGGGGCTGTAAGAGTCCGGTGTGTCCACCACCAGAGCGGCCGCTGCACTGGCAGCTCCGAGAGGGTTCTCGGCACGGCACGTGTACGTGCCACTGTCCACCAGCCGGGTACTTTGGATCTTGAGGGCGTTCTTCTCCCCCTGGGACTCAATCTGGATGCGGTTTGACTCAGCCCGCCCACCAAGGTGCCTCCCGTCTTTCTCCCAGTTGACCGAGAGTGGGGGGCTGCCCTGGACGATGCACTTGAACATGGCATCTTCTCCCATGATCACGCGGATGGAAGTGGGCTTCTGGATGAAGTACGGCGCCGACTCTGTCACGGTGGTTTGCTCGCCAACTTTGATGCTGACTGCGGCAAAAGCTTCCCCGATGGTATTCTTGGCCCTGCAGATGTACTGGCCGCTGTCCTCTAGGCTCAAGTCATAAATGGTTAAGCGATATAAATCACCATCTTCCACCAATTTAAATCTTCCTGCACTCTGTATGGGAAGTTTATCCTTCTCCCAGCTCACTAAGGGGATGGGATTTCCAATAATCTGGCAGCTCAAGGTGGCATCTTTCCCCATAGACACCACAAAGGCCTTAGGCCTAGTCAGAAACCGCGGAACTCCACTGTACGAACTGTAATCCATCTTGAAGGCCTAGGAAGTAACGAAACAGCCGTTAAAAAGCTTGACTGGGCAAAAGCTTGGCCATGTACAACAAGCAACAGAACCTGTTTCCAGCTCTTCCATAATTCAGCCAAAGCACTCCAAGGTGGGCTGTGATTCCAGAGGAACCCACCTAGTTCCTTCAAGAGGTTAAGCTGAACATAAAGGTAAAGGTAAAGGTTTCCCCTTGACATTAAAGTCCAGTCATGCCTGACTCTAGGGGGTGGTGCTCGTCTGTTTCCTGGCCGAGGAAGCCAGTGTTTATCCGCAGACAGTCTCCGCGGTCATGTGGCCAGCATGACTAAACACCAAAATGCACGGGACGCTGTTACCTGCCCACCGAAGTGGTACCTTTTTATCTACTTGCATCTGCATGCTTTCAAACTGCAAGGTTGGCAGGAGCTGGGAAGGAGCAACGGGAGCTCACCCCGTTGTGCAGATTTGAACCGGCGACCTTTCGATCAACCAGCCCAGCAGCAGCTCAGCAGTTTAAACCACTGCGCCACCTGCATCCCAAGCTGAACATATCCAAAGTCAATTTACTAAGGAGAGATAGTAAAACCCCTTTATCTTGAGAGGAGAAATTTCAGCACCCAGCTTGTCATAGCTATGGAATATTCATGAGTATCTTCAACTATGTGTGGTGTGTGTTCTGGATTTATTTATTTTTTAGTAAATCAATTTTAAAAGCTCTTTTCATGACTTTAGCTGAAGAATAACCACTGAAATTTACATTTCAAAATAAGAAATAGCAAAGTCAGCAATGCCTTAAGATTAGTCCAGAAGCCACTTGGAGAAAACAGCTTCAAGAGGCAGTCTGAAGCAGCGTCTCTTGGCTATTGGATTCCGAATGTTGAAAAAGACTAGCACAAACTTTGAGCACCCTCTTCATGTGTGTCCAGCTATCAAGGAGATCAAGAGATATCATCATGTCACCCAAAATGGGACAGAGGAGCAGCTACTTGAAAAGCATGACTGACCCACCCAAATCAGGACAATTAGATCAGTTCATAAATGAGTTGTCTTTCAGTAACACCATCCAATAACATTCTATCTGGATCCAATGATATCAATTTTCCATTGAGTTCATGAATCACAAAGCATATGAAACAATGCCTTTACTTAGATCATCTTGTGTTATAAATATAAGGCATGACTACTAACTTCTGTATTTCCAAAAGAAAATCACATTTCAAGGTTATTAAGAGCTTGAGTACGGCTAGGTCCTTCTAAAGGCCTCTCTAGTCTAGAGGCTGGCATAACTTCAGGATCATCCAGAAAAGGCAAGACTCATCAGAGAAAACAATCGTGCAAGGGAAAGCTGAAGGCAGAAGGGGAGACCAACTCTGAGGTGGATGGGCCCCATCCAGGAAGCCACGGGGTTGAGTTTACCAGAGCTGGGCAGGGCTGCCAAGGAACGGGCCTGTTAGAGGGTGCTCCTTCATAGGACCTCCATATGCTGAAGGCAACCTGAAGGCACACGACAAGTCCAGCATTTGGTTTGCACAAGGGCCCACAAGTGGCCCGTGGGAAGCCCACAGGTAGGGCATGGCACTACCCATGGGACACTTATGGTGGGTCCCATAAGGAGCATTGATCTGTCATGTCTCGTATCCACCACAAATTGGTCTAATCCGGTAGGTCGGTAGCCATCACTACATCTGATGCTAACAACTCCTGGCATTTTAACTTCCCGTTGTGTGAGGAAGTCCTTCCAATGGCCTATCCTAAATCTCCCACCAACCAACTCTGCCTGTGTTGAGAGCTGAGTTCTTTCCTCCCTTCGCACATTCAAGGCCACGGACCATTTCCTTGCAAAAGTTCTTTTATTCACCAAAGTATATTCAATAAACTCATTTACCACTGAATGAATATCCAAGCATGTACAGAGCAGTCCGTTGAACCCAATCTAGCAACTACTTCCAGGAACCCTCCTTCTGAGTCTGTCTGGGCTCCATCCATCTGGGAGGGTCCTTTCGGAAGCAAGCATACCTTTTCCCCATAGGCCAACCCTCCAGCTGACTAGCCCCCCTCTCCCAATGCTGCATCATGGGGTCAAGAGTCATTGGCTCTGAGAACTCCTCCCCCAGGTCCCCTTCCGACAGATGCACCCCCTGCTTACACCCAGAGCTTGCCTCAGTACCTGGGGAGAGCAGACTTGAGATAAGCTCCTCTGTTTCTTTCTTCTCCAAGTCTGAAGCCCCAAATTCCCAGATACCCTCCTCCGTCTCCTCCTCTTCTTCCTCTTCCTCAAGTCCAGATTGGTGTGACCCAGGAGTGTGCACCAAGAACAACTAACTGCCCCTCCCATTCTCAACAGAAAAATAATTCTACTGGGTGCCAGTATTCTAGGAAAGGGGAGAAACTTTCCCCCACCCACTTCCGCCACATTGTGCATCACGCCCTACACCTCTGTCATGTCCCCACCTCATCCCCCTTTTCCCTAAGCTAACGTTCCCTCGTCGTTTGGGTCGCCCGGTGCCGGCTGAGGGCTCGTGTGTCACTTTTCTGCTCATAGGGCATAGCTTGTAGCTCACCACAGCCACGCCTGGGAAAGCTTCACTAGCTGGATTCTGCTTCCTGAGGTAAAGAGTTGAGGGCTCCACATCGCCAAAGGAGAGGGGCAAATACAGAGCTGAGGCGCCTGTCCTGCCATGGGGCGAGGGTGGTGGAAGTGGAACCCGACGGGGCTTGGCTGCATGAGAGCGCTTCCTTCAAGACAGGTTTTAAAGAAACAGCAACTCGTCTTCGGCAGGTTCTGAGGCTGGCAGTCCAGCATCTTGCAGCCCGGGGCGGGTAAGGCTTCCTCAAGGTCAAGGATTCGAATGCCTTGGTTGAAGCCTGCTTGAAAGGCCCCACTGCTAGGGGCCAACTCCTGAATGTATTTTTAAAATAGTGCCCGAGGGACAAGAGACAAGGCTCTCAGCTGTAGTTCTACGTTGGACAGAGCAAAGATAAAACCCTGAGCGGAGGGAAATTACAAGTCGATTTTGCCCTTCATGATTATTATTATTATTATTAGAACATTTCTATGCCGCCCCTTGCCGAAACCTCGGGGCGACTTACAAACACAATAAAATACAATAAAATACAAAAATAACAATATAAAATTAAAATTAACAATATAAAATAAATAAAAAGATAAAAGATAAAAGAAGTCACCCTGGCCAGATAAATAAGCAAATATCGTTAACAATTAAAGTGACGTTTAAATAAAAAGGTCTTCACCTGGCGCCGAAAAACAAGTAACGACGGTGCCAGGCGGACCTCTTTGGGGAGTGAATTCCATAGATTGGGTGCCACCGCAGAGAAAGCCCTCCTCCGGGTACTTACTCTCCCAATTTCTTTCATGGAGGGTTCCCGGAGAAGGGCCTCTCCCGCAGATCTCAAGGAGCGGTCGGGCATATGATTAAAGGGTTGCCGGTGAAAAAAATGGAATTTCCAGGCTAATACACGAGCTCTTTCTTTTAAAAGATTCAGATGCCGTGTGAGAGTCATGAAAGACCATTCAATGCGCCAGCTTATGGGCCAATTCGAAGGGAATGCTTGTTTTCATACATCCCTTCCAGCCCATTCAGATCATCAACGAAGGCTCAGTTTTGTGAATTCCCCCTTCCCAAATGAGGGGCGGGGGGAATTTGCAAGAAAAGGGGCCTTCTCTGTTGTTGTACCCCACCTTTGGAATTCCCTTTCGAAGGAGCTGCAACTCACACCACCACATTGTGCATCCAGTGCCAAGGTAAGACTTGATTTAATATTCAAATTATGATGGATCGGTCTCACTGCTGCTTTATTGTTTTGTCTTGTTCTTTATATCATGATTTTCCTCCTGCTGTATTTTATATAACATTTTAAATTGTATTATACATTATGGTTTTATTTACCTATTTTATCGGTATCATCGTCATGACTGTGATGTGGGCTCTCAGAGAGCCTTCTGGCCATGGGGCAGCGTACAAATGCAATAAATAAATAAAACCACATGATCAAAACAAGCCATAGTGGAGTGTGGCAGGTACAACTTGCAAGATCACTGCCCAGTTCTGTTGTCTGAATCCAGGCAGCATAGTTTGTCGGAGAGTTAAACATGGGCTGTTCTAGGATTATGTGAGGGCTGTTCTAGCCACCATGGCTTGTTCCGATTGTGTGAACCAGGTCTATGGGTTCATAATACGCAACTATTTACTAACTGGGAACTTTACAGTGATACACATAACAACTGCATTATCTAACGTGTCTACTTTGTTTAGGATTATTTTCTATTTTCTTAGTATCTACTGGAAATCTGTAAATTTATTTAAAATGTTCCTTGTTGCATGGCCAAATGTTACAGAGCATTTGCTTCATCCATGATGGTATGTGCAACATAAACTGAGAAATAGTTGTCTGTATTCACCTACAGTGACCACAGTAAAGAAGATTCTCAAGAGGGTGGAAGGCTGAAGGCAAATCAGGTAAGAATATTTACACCTTTGTAATTGGTGTTTATTCATTTTGAGGCAGCAACTGTAACAAGGCAGGAGCACATTTTAAATGAGAATTTAATCCTGCACAAACCTCAAACTGCTCTGAGGGCAGCAGGATTTCGTGGGAAATAAAAGATGACATTTCGCCTACTCATTTGCTAGTTCTGAAGGTCCTTCTGACCAATTGCCCCCAGTTCTGCTTTCTCTATTTATTTTAGAATATTTTTACTACAACGTTTGGGTGCAAGATATCTAGGCAGTTCATAATAATGAAACTACAGTATCAGTGCAAATGAAGCTAAAATAATAACAGTACAATAAAACTGGTGGCCATGAATTAAATTTCTCATATATATCCACAGCCAAAGGCTGGTGCATTGTTTATTTCTGGGGGATGTTTTTTCAGAGCGGGGGTTCACCATGGAAAAAGCCCTCTTCCTGGTGCTCGCTGGATGGACTCTGGAGGACGTGCAAAGACATCAAATCAAGTTGGTTGTAAATGTGGCATCCAGCCAAAGTATGAAACAAAGAAGGAGGGTTTCTGGTGATTGGTGAAGGCTTTGCCTCCAGGACCAAACTAAAAGAGCTGAGAGGAGATGGCAGGGAGAGGCGGTAATAGGGATGTCCTACAGCTTGCCTTGGTTTTCCCAGTTGTGATGTATGGCTGTGAAAGCTGGACCATGAGGAAGGCTGAGCGCCAAAGGATTGAGGCCTTGGAATTGTGGTGCTGGAGGAGACTCTGCGAGTCCCTTGGACCACAAGGCGATCAAACTGGTCAGTCCTAGAGGAAAACAACCCTGACTGCCCTTTGAAGGCCAGATCCTGAAGATGAAGCCCAAATACTTTGGCCACCTCATGAGAAGGAAGGACTCTCTGAAGAAGAGCCTGATGCTGGGAACAATAGATGGCAAAAGAAGGAGGGGACGGCAGAAGATGAGGTGGCTGGATGGGGTCACTGAAGCAGTCGGCGTGAACTTAAGTGGACTCTGGGGGATGGTGGAGGACAGGGGGGCCTGGAGGAGTGTTGTCCATGGGGTCGCAACCAACAACAACAACACAGCTTGCCTGTGTCTCTTCTCCAGGGTCCCATCATCTCAGCACTGCCGCTAACTGGCCAACACATTTGATGGAGCCACCTGGAGTTCTGCCCTTAGTCAACATGGAGAAACCTGCTCCTGGTTGGCCTTGACCTTGTGCCCACGGCAGGGCACAAAGCTTCATGGAGACAACCCAGCCTATCTTGGGTCATCCAGATCTGCCCCTGATTGCGAATGAGAAATCATAGACGCTTGCCTCCTGATCAGTTTTCTACTTCCTATAATCCATATGAAATAGTGTCAGCATTTCTCCTCTCTTGGGCATACGGCCCTCCTTCCCCAGTGTTACTAAACTCCACACCAGCCTTGATCCAAAAGTTACTTGCATCTGTCCATAAACCTCAAACACGCACACACACACCCTGGCCTTGCCGCTTATGGATAAGAGCCAGATTTAGTCCCGCTGGAATTGACTAGTCAGGACTAAGTTAAATCCCACTGGCTCTTCTTGAAATATAAGTAAATATATTTACTTTATTATTACTCAAGCGCCGGCCTTCCCAGGAGTGTTGAGAAATACACTCAGAATTGTATTCCAGCACTCATTGCTTACAATGACTCTGCCTTGGAACTTTTTGCCACACTAATTAAAACCTTTAAAGGCGGAGGAGCATTTTCTAGGAATGATAAAAGCGCACATGGATTATATTCTGCATTTCAATTGAATAAGGTTCTAGCAGCCTTTCAAAACATTGTCACATTCCTTCCCATTCCAGTCATTAGCAGGATTCTGTTTTTCCTTCCAGAACTATGAGGCTGCTTAGGAAGAACAGCACCTCTGACCATGTGCAAAATACTGACTGTTACTATTGTGCTTCTCCAGTCACTTCACATTGCATCTGAGATGGAGCCAGCTCTCAGAGTGTAGGATTTTAACCTACTGCAACCCCAAACAACTGTTTATAAAAAAAGCAGCATCCACATCCAATTCAAGTCAATGACAAAAAAAATTTAAATATTTCAGTTTTTTAAATCGGTCTGTTCTGCAGGGCTTTCAGCTTTGTAGCCCTTTCTTTTTCAGATCTTTAAAATCAACGCCTGGGGCCCTCGGCTGGCCCATATCTGGGCTTTTGAGTTTCATGCTGGATCACTGGGGTGGGGGAGTCAAATAGAGGGTAGGTGTCAGCTGACCGTCTCACCCTGCTCTCCGACAAAACGTAAAAGATAAATATTGATTCTGGTGTCATCTAAGGCTTTTCCCCCTCCAAAGCAAGTTCCACTGAGTGGGACTGACTTGCAAATCACTGTGCAACATTTTATATTGTTGACAATTAACAGAATGGAAGCAGAAATAACAAGAGGGAAATTCCATGGCTACTCTGTCCTAGGGAAGTAGGTGAAACTTCTGTATTGATCTGTATTCTGTATGTAATGCAAAAAGTAGGCATCGCTGCCATTACAACCACTCCATATCACTGAGCTCTTGCTCTTAAAATAAACTCAGCTGTCCCTTCCCATCTTTTTCTCACAGCCCATCTGTAGAAATGCAAGCTGAGAAAACCAGCAAGGAAGGACGACGAGGGAGGGGCGGCTACGACTGGGATTAATCCTGACATAAGGAGAGTGATGAGGTCAGACAATTAACAAACGCAAAACTATGTATGTGTCTTCATGCTTAGGATGAAAACCCAATAGAAAAAAAAATCACACTCCTTTCCACGCAAGAAGAATGCTGACATTCTCAGCCCATCCTGACCCGGAACACAGATCAAAAAATTAAATGCTAAACATCTCCTCCTTATATTCCCTCACAAAGCACTTCATTTTCTTCTGGATCCCAGGCGGAAATACAGACTATCACAACCCCAAAGCAACATGTGCCCGGGGAAGGATTCTAGTTTCCTGACCTTCAACTTTAGTACTAAATCCAGTGCCACAAACCACCAGGAATAGCACCGCTACAGACAAACGCTTTTAGTCCATTCCTAACAAGAATCCGCAAGCCTTCCCAGCCCCCAGTCAAAGATGAAATCCAAGACCTTACCTGGAGTCTTGTTACACCTGGAAGAAATAATGGATTTTCATTGGAATGAGGGAAAGCGGGACTTTAGAGGTGATGTGGGGTGGGGTGGGGGAATAAGTCGCCGAGAGGGGCATGGGGAGACCAGAATCTTGGTCCCCCCCAGCCAGTGAGAAATAAAACAGAAACCCCAGTGAGGCTGGGGACGTGAGGACGGTGAGCCCCTAGTCCCCCCAGAGTAGCCGCAGCGCTGGGGGTTTAGCCTGCCTGCAGCCCCTCCCTCTGGCCGCCTCCTCCAGTCAAGTCGGATGGCTGACACGCTGCCTCCCCTTTCCAAAATAGCCCTGGGTGTCATTTACCAGCGAGATTAAATTTCAAGCAGCGCGGAGAGGAAAGGGCATCGTTTTAGGAAACCCACTGGGCAGGCCAGAGGGACGTCTCTCGGGAGCGTGCAGGCAGAAGCAGCCCCAGCGGCCAGGGCTAGGACCATTCCTGAAGTGACCTCTGCCAGAGATGAGTGACAGGTGTCCATCTGGGGATGACAGGAATGTCACCCACTGTCGGCAACATGGCATTAGAGTTCTTGTCTTTGTCCGCTTCTGAAGACAGCAGGGAAGGAAAGCCTTGCCCACGGCCAAACGGCTCTGCTCCTGCATTTTAATAACCCAGTCATGGCCGGGCCTTATTTCTGGCCTGCAGTTTGGCTGAATTATGAACAGGCTTGGTGCCAAAATTACGGGGTGGTCATGTCGGAGTTTCACGCAGATACTCCGCAGTTTGAAAGAGAAGGTGCATTGACTGATAAATATACGCAGTTGCTGGGCCTGTTCTGGCAAGGAAGGAAAATGTGCAGAAGACCAGCAGAAGAAGGCAGGACAGTTGTGTGCTGCTAATCACACCCTTACTTATTTGATTTGTTCATGTACCCTTTCATCAAAAAAGGAGTTCAGAGGGGTTAACAATCATAAAGAACAACCCCAACTATAACTTCGTGAAAAAAATACGTTGCATTAATATGCCATCTTTCTCCCTATTTTGAGGAACCCAAAGAGTTGCCTCCTCTCTATTTTATCCTCGCAACAACAACCCTGTAAGTAGGTTATGTTGAGAGGCAGCGACTGGCCTGAAGTCACCTACTGAGCTTCATGGCCTGCATGAGGACTAGAACCCAGATCCCCCAGGCCCTCAGTCCAGGAGTCTTAACCACTGCAACACCCTGGCTCTCCACAGTTAAAAATGTATTAAAAACAGTGTACTTCTAGATTTTGTTTTGTAAGCTACCAGAATTAAGCACCGTTCATATGAAACAGCTATTAATGAGCTTCAGCATATAACACGAGTATATATTTAAGGTCCTTTGCAAGCACTTTTCATGAGTGCTATAGATAATTTCAGCTATACAGAAGATACGGCCCTTTCATTTGAAAAGCATGGCTTGCTGTTGAAATCTTCTTCCAGTCCTCTTCCAGCTGCACTGGCTGCCAGCTGAAGTCTGGACCCAATTCAAAGTGCAACTATAGACATTCAAAGCCCTAACCAGCTCAAGGCCGGGTTATCTGAGGGAACACCTTGTTCCCTATGTACCTACCGGATGTTATCTTTGGGGGTCCTTCTTTGGGAGTCCCCTCCAAAGAAAGTGGGGTAGGTGGGTACCAGGAGAAGGGACTTCTCCGTTGTGGCACCCTGGCTGTGGCACCTGGTGCCTGCTCTGTATTCTTTTCAGTGCCAGATGAAAAACTTCTTTATCTTCCCCGTATTTAACAATAAACTTGTAAGCCGCCTAGGAAGGCCTCAGCAATTATAGGCGGTCTATAAATATATGTAAATAAACAAACAAACTTTCAATCTTTAGTTTTAACATTGCATTTTATCCTGTACCACTGCTATACCTCGATGCTGATTTGGTTGCAACTGCTGTTGTTTCATTGTCTTATATTAATTTTTTTTCTTTCCTGTTTGTGTGTTTTTAACTTTTGTTTTCTACCCAGCAAGGCTTGACTATTGGGCAGTATAAAAGTGAAATAAATAAAGTCTGCACAACAGTGAATATGAAAGATTGTTCCAGTGCCAACTCTTACCTATATAATAATTTCCACCTGAAAGGAAGCAGTGGCTGTACATGGCGAAAACATCTGTTTCCAAAATACATGAGCTGATTAGACTTCAGGCAATTAACTGAATGGACAAACTGCAGTGTCCGACAGACACAAAACAAAAGGTTTTGCTGAGCAAGATGCCACCTAAGTTCTGTGCAACAGATTGGCGCCAACGTGGCCACCCACTAATTAAGACATTTTCTGGTGGCAGGCACAGCAATTTTCCAAATCCCTAGATCTGACCACAGGTCCAGAAAGGCTGGGGACCCCGACCCCACTGAGGGCCTCTAAGTTGCTTTTAAGATTCCTGAGAGTACGCCTTCTCCCTTACCAACCTGCTTGATCATGAAGGTCGTCAGATGGCATGGTTCCATGTGGACCTACAGCCCAATTAGAGTCCCTCCAGAGAAGAGCTTTTAGTGTGGTGTCCACGGGATGCCCAGCTGGTGGAGAGAAACATAGAAACAGAGCGAGTCAGAAGGGGTCTCCCGGGTCATCTAGTCTGACCCCCGGCACCAGCCAGCTCCGCTCACGACATGCCCACCATGTGGACGTCCAGCCTATCCTTGATGGGGCCTCACCCACCTCTCGTGGAAGCCCATTCCACACCCTCGGGGTCCTGACTGTCAGGAAGTGCTTCCTGGCATCCCAATTGAACCTTGGCTCCCTGACCTTTGCTCTGTTGGAGCGCGTCCTGCCTTCCTCTGCAGGGGAGAACAGGTCTCTACCCACCTCTGTGTGACACCCCCTCACATCCCTGTATGTCGCCAACAGATCCCCTCTGAGCCTCGTATTCTGTTGTCCTGTGCCATCAAGTCGTCTTTGACTTATGGTGGCCCCATGAATGGAACCTCTCCAGAATGTCCTACGACAGCCCTGCTCAGCTCTTGTAAATTCCAAGCTGCAGCTTCTTTCCTGGAGTTCATATCTGGATAGCACTTTAATTTCAGGAAGTCCTTCTGAACTCACCAGTCCCATGTTTACAGATTCTGTCTCTAATGTCTAGTTTCATCCTGACTTGTTTTATCTTATATTATTCAGTGCCCAGGAACCTCCATACTGGATTACACAGTAGTATAGAAATCTTAGAAGCAGGTAAGTAATAAATGCTTACCTTCTTGATAACTCAGTGCAGCATCTCCCCCTCTTCCTCCAAAAAGCTCATGGCAAAGTACACAGAGCAAGCTCCCCTCGGAATGCAAGGAATTCCTGCCCAGCCCTGCCAGGATGCACTTGGATGGAGATGGCAAATGCTGACCGGGCTCCTCTCAGTTTTCCATATTCCCACCTTCCATGTTGCATGTAAATTGTGGGCAGGAGGCAGAAAGAAGGGTGTGCTCAGAATTGTCAGATTCAGAGATGGTATTTCTCTCCACACCAGGGGTTAGTGAGGAAGTGAGAAAAGGGAAATGGCTGACTTTGTACTCTGCCAAATTATTGGAAACCAGGTGGACCAGATCAAGGGTTGAGAATCTCAGACCTGAGCAGCAAATCTGGCCCACCTGGGGGCTGAATCAGGCTCTCTGAGCCATCCTGGAAGGACACCTGCATTTCCCAGCCACTGAGCATTTGGTTTCCTGGCTTTTGTGGAGTTTCCCCCCATTCTAATAGGTTTAAAAGTGCTCTTCCTACAGCTGAAACACAAGAGAAGCCCTGATGGATCAGAGCAAACCCATCTAGTCCAGCGCTTTGTACAAACAGTGGCAAAGCAGCTGAGCACAGGATCTCCATGCAAGACTTTTACCGAAGCTCCTCAGCAACTGGCATGCGCAGGCGGGTTGCCTCTGGTGAAGGCGGTTGCCCGTGGCCAGCAAGGCTAGTAGCCACTGGTCGCCTCCTCCCTCAGGAATCTGTCCAATCCCCTTTTAAAGCCATCCGGATTGGCAGCCATCCCCACTTCCCATGGCAGCAAATTCCACCGTTCAACAATACACTGATTGAAGAAGTCCGTTCTTTGACCTGTCCAGAATCTCCCACCAATCAGCTTCATGGGATGACCCTGGGTGCAAGTTTTATGGGAGGGAAGACAGATGTTTCCCTCTATACATTCCCCAGAGCGTGCATCATTTAACTCCCGCCTCCTGTTCCTTGCCATTTTTCTCAACCAAACACAGCCCCGGTTGTTGCCGCCTCTCCTCCTGAGAGAACTGCTCCAGTTCTGCAAGCACCTCGTTTGCTCTCCTCTGCGTTGTTCCCAGCTCAGTAATTTGAAAGAAATTTTGTAGGAGCACCGCTGCCCTTCTTAAGTGCAATCTACCACTCTGAGTTCAGTAATTTGTAATATTGACCGTAGCCACAGATAGAGAACAAGAAGGGACCTAGCAAGAACGCAAAGGTCAAAGCAGCCAGAAAAATCTGCTTGCTTCAACCGGAGCTTTGCATCGCCCTCCCTCCCTCGTGCATGTGTGTGTGTGTGTGTGTGTGTGTGTGTGTGTTGAAAACAGGTGCTTGCTCTAGTGAATGACAGCATGGGTGAGCCGGGAAAACAGCTTTTAACCTGTTTTCTGATACAGGCCTCTCAGAAGTAGTTGAGTTCCATATGACCATTTTATTGCCCGTAAAAAATCCATACAAAGATTAGCAAAATGGCTTTTTGTAGATCCAAAGAGGGTGGACAATCACAAACTAACGTGCAAACTTTCAAGTGTCCCAAAACTCTGGGTGACACAGAACACTAAATGAAGAGATGGGGGGAGCAGAGGGACAAATGACCTTCCTTTAGCTGCTGAGGATTCTTGCGTACTGAACTAAATGGGAGACAGTAACTCTCCGACAACTGCTGGGAAATGAAATTAAATCCCACTGCTTAAAAGCTACCCCGAAGAAACAGAAGCAGAACAATGGCTGAGCGTGACTCCTTTGGTTGCTTTCACAGAAAGGAGTATTGGATGTGCTCTACCTGAAGAATGGCAGGAAATTTGTCAAAGTTCCACAGGTCGAGTAGTGAACTTGCACAGCATTCCAAAGCTAGGAAGTTTCTTGGAGCCATATCAAGGCCTAATCCAAGCACACCAGACATAATTGTCTTGAAGCTGTTTTAACCAATTATTTTCTTAGACAAGAGCTGCTTTTGCTGTGAAGGCTGAAACTGTTGGCATTTCTGTAAGCAGCTTTGCCACTCTGCACCTCCCCAGAAGTAGGGTTTGTCGCTTGCAGCTTGCTTACTTACTGATAAGTTTTGCAGCAGGTTAGGAGAGAGCCTTCCATCAAGTTCTTAGCTAGCTGGATTAATGTTGGCTTCATTCTTGAACTCAGGAGTATACAACAACATGTCTAAACAATTAGTGCTCTAGGAGCCGTGTCTGTTCCAAACTGGAAGCTCTGTAACCAGCATGACACATGAGCTTCTTTTGCCTGATTCTTCTTAATCTGCATGCATATTTCATCAATATACACATTTTACAAACTGTCTTCGACACAAGCAGTCGTATTTTATTCAGATTCTCCTCAAATCTGAAACTGAGTGCTTGCAGCTGATCTTACAACACTGCAATTTAATGTAATGGGGGTTTGATCCAATGCGCTCCTCTGGCTGTGCATGAATAGTTTTCTGTTGTACCATGGCAACTGAGCTCTGGTCTGTGATGCCCTGAATGTACTTAACTGTTGCTATGAACATACTTGCTGTCCTTAAACAAGCCTTTCTCTCCACAGCCCCTTCAGCCCATCTACAATATGGGGTTTTTGCTATTCAGCCTGTAGGACTGGATGAGAAAGATGCCTCACACCAGGTCAAACTACCGATCCATATAGCTCAATAAGGTCTATAGTTGACATGGGAGCAACAATCCTTCTGCTACACATTCTTCTTTCTAACTGGAGATGCTCAAGAATGAGGGCATCACACGGTCCCCCAGCAACTTACAATTTCTCCCATAAAGGACAGCCTGTAATGGCTGGGTTCAGACAACAGAGTAACCCATACTCAGGGTTGAGTATGGCTTATTGATCAAGGCCCCCAGGTCATGGGTGTGTTATGTGCTGTCAAGGTGTCTCTGATTTATGGCAGCCGGTTTTTGACAGCTCCAATCAGCTGTTCCAAGTTCAAGGCTGTGGCTTCCATGGGTTGTTGTCGAGACAGGGGGTTCTGTTGTCTGAACCCAGTCATGCTAGAGCCTTGTTAACCACGAATGACCAATGGCTCACAGCCCAACAACAAACCATAGGTTCTTTTCGTGGGTTGTTTGTGCCGAACAAATCATGCATTGTCTCAACTGGGTTCAGACAATGCAATAGGCCATGTTTCAACAACAATCCACACTCAGCCCTTGTGTGTGGGATATCATGTTGTCTACCCCAATAACTTTCATTACAGCACAATTAAATCTGTGCATTGCTTTGGACATGCAAAAGTGGGTTACAAATGCCCAGCAATCCTTGTGTATTTTGTACCTGATGGTTGGCCACGTTGACTGTAGGACTGAAACACTGCAAAATGAATGATGAGTAGAATTAAAATGAGTTGAGTACTTGTTCCAAAGATGTTGAGGATTTGCCAATAAGCAGGTAAGGAAAGGAATGATGGGTCAAGGAAAGCAAGCCGCTCTGCTAAGAAGGGCAAACACTCTCAATGACGCCATCAAGGCCGAGAAAACATGGAAAGGTTGCTCAGCTTGACTCAAGGTAAGCATATCACTGGTAGCTGAACATCACTCTTGCTGCCTTGCAGACTTTCCGCCTCCAGCTGCTTAAAACATAGAGCTCATATTTCCAAACTCTGGCAACAAACATGCCTCCTTTGTGCCAGGGAGGGGCATGGAAAGGACTGTGGTCTCCTAACCTTCAAGCCTCCACTGAGCAGGTCAACAAGCACGATCGAAAGCCAGAGATCCACACAAGGCTACTGTAAACCGTGACATCTGCCTAAGCGCAATAGTCCCGTCGAGCAGGCCTCACTTAATCATCCAGTTACGAAAGACAGATGCAGCTCAACCAGGCTCAACAAGATCAGGAAGCAGCAGGCCAGGGGGGGTCGGTCGCTGTGCAAGCAACCCATGGTGACCCCCACGGTGGGTTGCTGGACCCCTCCTTTGGAAATCTCAGGGGATGCCATGGGATAAGCAAAGTGTTCCCTCCACCCTTTAAACATTTTTTTCTGCCAGGGAATTGCAAAAGCTGGTTGTCAAGCTAGCTTTTGTGATCTCTGCTTTGACAGCGACAAACAGCCCCTTCAGAACTGCTCCAGAAGCACTTGGAGGGACTGCCTGGGGTTCCGAGACATTTGTTTTAGCACCAGAAAGTTTTGCAAATATGAAAGGAAATTGTGCCGTAATTGTGCAGCACTGAACATTCAGTTATGCAGATAGTCTCAGATGGACCATGTGCGGTGTCCAGAAGGTCCCTGCCCAGCCATTCCCTCTCAGAGGCAGCAGGTTCCCTCCTCTCACAGCAAGTTCTGGGGGAACTTGTGCGCTCCCAGTACACCCTCATTCTTACTATCCGCAAACTCCAAACAGGCTTTGATAAGGATTTGGTTGGGCACTGGCTTACCTCTCGCCACTTTTCAATAAAGCCCAGCTTTTTTACATTATGTTTCTATACCAGCTGCGCCCCAAGGTTCACAACATTTACATCACCCATTCCAGACACCCACCACCCAGGCCCAACCCTGCTTAGCTTCCAAGAAGAGGCTGGATCAGGCACTTCAGGTATAAGGAAGTTGACAGTTGTAACCTCCAGATTCAGATGAGAATCTCTCCAGTTCCTTCAGTTACCATTGACCTCCTTCCTGGTTACTTCTCTAATGCTTTTTTTACCTAGCCACTGAATTATGGTAGAAGACTGCAGAGCTGCTGTTGTGCCATATTCTCTCCATTTTATAAAGATCGATTTAACAGTGCTGTGGGGCATGTTGTTTGTGATTTTTTTAAAATAACCTCCCCCTGAATGATGCTTCTGCATAACTTTATCCCGGAGTTCATTTGACAGCTCCTTAGTCATCATGAAGTGGTCTGCTTTGATATGCTCATGGCACACATTCAACGACTCACAGTATTTGACTTCTGCAGGCAGTGTGTTTTAGGCATGTTGGAGCAAAAGGGATGGATATGTATGCAACCCGGAAGCGCCAATTTTGCTTTTGTGTTACAATAAAGATAGTTTGCGTTTTCACAGCACTGAGTATCTTGGGGAGATCAAGTGGTAACAATGCCAATTCAATCCGTTTCCGTTCCAGGTTGTAAGACAGCGAAATGTAGAGAAGTCAAGGGGACTGAAAGTCCATACCAGAGAACGCTGGGCCAGAATTCTGAGTAAGCATGTGCGGGAGAATAAGGGCCGTTCCTACTCTGGTTTCTCTTTTTTTCTGATTGATCATGTAACCTCCTTAATTTCTAGAAATCACATAACCACAGCAAGTTAGGTATTCAATACTTTAATTGTTTTAAGTGTTAGCCAGCACACATAACAAATATTCCAAAAAAGAAAAAAAAGTACATGAGAAACAGCAGCTGATAATTGACAGATAAGAACTGAATTACTAGTGAAAATCAGGCTCATACCAATTTAGAGGGGGAAACCCTCCATGACATAGAAAAAACATTGCAAGAACATTTCACTCACCACGATTTTGATAGATTTTGATAGCAAGAACACTCACCGTACATCTAAATAAACCTTTTTTCATGACATGACGACGTTTTGTGTCTGTTGCTGTATGGTTTTCTTAATGTAATCTATAAGCACATGTGTGTTAAAGAACTTCACACAACAGATGCTCTAGTCCTGGATAAACGGCATCCTGATTCTCTTAATATTAAAGGAGGGCCCAGCAGCAAAATGAACCAGAAACTTGATCATTATTATCTAGAAAGTTACAGGAGAGGTAGAAATGAATTTTTTGTAGCTTCCAGATTCCACAGTTATTCCCAGATACAATGAATCAGCACCAGAATTGACCCATCATGTCTCCTTAGAGAAACTTGACCTCTCTGTAAACACGGTTCTGTTCAATCTACTAAATCAACGTGTAATAGGCGTTACAGTCCATGTTATTACAAGTGTACACATTTTTACTTTTCAACAAGATTGGCTAAAGATACACAAGATATTATCCTATAAACCGTATATTAAAATAGATATTGTTTATCTTCATATTATCTATAATAAAAATAAAAAGCAAACTTTTCTTCCCAGTTGCCTTATTTGGCAGATATAGGTCATTTCCAGATTTAGTTATACTTAGAGTAGACCTACTGAAATCAATTGATCTATTTCATGCACAACTAAAAACGGAATCCTATGACACAGGGACTTTCTATAAGGATTTGTTTCAAGGTAACATCTAGCCTACATTTCTTTTATTTTTGTTACCAATTTTGCCATCAAATACAATTATTAAAGTCCATCTAGCAAGATATCCAAGACAACTGAATCGCAACAGCTTTTTGTTAAAAGCTTCTTCATTCAACTAGAAGTTGAATAAGTAACTTAACATTCCTTTGCATCATAAACTGTAATACTAAATTCAACAAAAATATGCACATTTTTGAAAATGGAAGAAAGAACAAAACTATCTTTCAAAGCAAGTTGCAAGATGCTATGAAAATCTGTTGTAAAGGCATAATTCCATTTTCATAATTTCATATAAAGTTCGACCAAAAGTTTGTGTGCTGGTGATTAAGAGCCATAAAACCATGTAAGGAACTATTTTGAGCTGGGTCTCCACACAGACAAATAAAAATGAAAATATACATGCTACAATGCCGAATTCTCAAACACTTTTTAGGCTGCCGAAATAGAATGTAAGACTTTAAAATGGACAGAGTCTATCTATTTACCTCATTTTAACAGGGTTTATATACACAGTTCTCTTCCTGGAATTTGTAGTACAAGACATTCAGTGAGAACCGAATGCTTCACCAAATATATAAAGGTAGCCAAGATCAAAGGCAATAAAAGCCATTGGGTTGGACCCAGACTAAGTCACGCTTACACAAAACACACTGAAATCAGTAGAACAAGTTAATCATGACTAACTTGTCACATTTAAATGCAAATACCAGTTAATGAAACCACTAGTTTTGTCCGTTTCTCAAGATTATAGTTCAAAGTCCAGAGAAAGACGTGAAATATTCCATGTGCCTCATCAGGTTTTACTGAAATCAGAAATTCCTAATGGCACACAGCAAAGAACTGCTGAAACCCAAGTTCCAAAAGCCGCATTATAATGCAGCATTGAGGATCCTGCTGCCTGAAGGCCAGAGAGGCACAACTGTTCTGGCCGTACACAAGCCTAGGCAGCTCCGTGGGCTGCGGCCCTTGCAGGATGAGCTCTGCAGCTGCGGACATCTGCTGAATTACATTTTAGCAGCGAGGTAAGGCTCGACCAAGAAATCTGTGCGTGGAATCCCATTAAGGGATCAATCTCTCTACTCTCGAGTCAAGGAGGGAAGGTACTTTTCTTTTTGACAATTCCCTCTTCGGCCCCTTCCACCCTCCTGCACATGCTTTGCAAAAGTGGGAGCCCTCCACTCCACTGGATTTAAGTCGTTATGTACCAAGCCCCGTGTGGAAGTCCATCCTAAGGGCTACATTTTGCAATGGTCAAGCAGGTAACATAAACTACCTAAGCAAACTCCCTAAGAAGAACCCAAAAGCAGATTCAACCCATGTTTTGCGTTCCTCATTGTCAGTCTTGGCTACTTCTGCCACCAGAGCTTCCAACATCACAGGTCTTGCACATTAAGAAAACAAAAGCGCTAAGGATCGTAAGAACTTTCCACCGCACACGCACATATGCACACAATCACAACAAATCTCCCCAAACCATTTTAGATTTTATGTCTAAACTTTGCATATCTATGCTGCCTAATTTAAAACATCAGGTACGCTCGCAGAGCAAGTTCAATAAGAACTAAACAACACCTGGGACATCGCGGTGGACAATTTGAAGCAACAGTACATGCTTCAGACATAATCAGAGGGAAAAGAGCCGTATCATTTTCAATAACGAGGCCAGTTTAGGTTGATGTGAAAACACCTTCCAACAAGCTGAGCTAAAACCAAAGGATTAAATATTTTTCTAAAATAAAAGCAGTGCTAATAAAGAATACCACTTCTGATTGGATAATGAGCAGCTACTTTGAAAATGGGCAAGATGTTGATGGACAACTCAGCACCTGCATAGGAGTGTGGAGGGTGGGGACAGAGGGTTATTAATGACAAAACATCTTCATTCAGAAAATACTGTATAGTCCAGGCTTAACTCTAGGGAATTTGATCGGGTCTAAAAGCAATATGTATCTTCATGTGATTGACTGTATCCTGCCTAAATTAAGTCCTAATTGCTAGATGTCCTATGTGTACATGAGCCAAAGGCACAGAAAAGCCAGTTTTCATACTGTTAGGAAAACATCTGAAAAAGAAGAAGGTAAGTTATTTGCTTTTTATTCCCAAAGATGAGTTTTATTAGCATGCATAAAAGGGAAACTCATCTTTTGGTGGGCATAAGATACTGCCATTCTCCAAAGAATGCTAGGAAAGTTGAGGCATTCACGTATTCTGAAGCTAGGGAATCCAGTGCTGTAGCTATCAAATGCAGCTTACTATAAATCCCTTTCAATGCATTGCTCAGTTGCAACAGAATTTGAGCACACTGCTATATTTATCCTTCCTTCAAGACTTTTAAAAGGCACATTACCTATAACAACCAATTATAATCATGGTTTAACAATTCTCACAACTTATGGACTCAGTGCACTTAAGACACTCATTACTACACCACAGTCCTGGAGAAGTACTATGATTTTATAAACAGAAAGAACACACTATCATCTTACAATTGCTAGCACAGTTATACTACTAGGAGTTAAATCCAATTAATTCCTCATACTGTAAACTAGTTCAAACTCCAGAAGTCTATTTGACCTCATGAAAATTAGTGCAAAATAGACACTAATTTCTTCCACACTAACATCCAAGCTGAAACAGATGCTGAAAATAGTTATATTTTCCTTTCAATTATTCCTTTCTACTTAAAACTGGAGGGAGAGTTGTGAGATACTGGCAACTTTCTGTGGCACACACCACATTACTCTAAACATTCACAAACTGACACAATAATGGGATATTAAGTCCATATATGAATCACTTAATTATGCTTCCCAGAGCAGTAGCCAATTAACATGTTACTAAACAAGTGAACTCAGTTCCAATCCTTTGAATTATTTTCCTTCCAGTAATCCCTCACATTTCGACACCATTCCAAGAATTAAGAGAACTGCTCCCTGCAGTTCTTTACTAACATATAAAACACAAACACATTAGTTATCACTCACTTCACAGAGGTAATCTCACATTTTATAAGATCATTAAAATGTTAATACTCATTAGTGATAAGAACCAAATGTTAAAGCCCCAATCCAGAGATTCCTTTCATGCACAGGAGAACATGTAAACATCCCTATGAACTAGACTCTCCCTATAAAATCATGGCTATGTCAGGGACAGCCGTGTGTCCATATACCCCAAATTCCATCACCATTTTCACGAAGCTGTCCCAAATGCTAACAGTGAAGGGGAAAATCTGTAGTTTAAAGAAGCAAAATCAAGGGGAACTAAGTGAAAATTTTGGACCGGGGCACAACCTGGTAGAATTCTCATCTTGTACATTCACATTACCACATAGCCTATCTGATTGTCCAAGACACTGCATGACGTTTAATAACGGTGTTTGACCATACAAAATTTCCTCATGCTAAAAATAAATCAGCCAGCTTTGGTAACCTAGTACAGAGTTAGTTTTATGCAACTATTTCTACAAACATCTGATCTCTACAAACATAATATAGTGTGTATATTTATAGATATTATATATATACATACACATACAGACCCTGAGCATACATTAAGCCTGATGATTAGGTCTGATGAGGAATCAAAGTGTACATTAAAATAAGATAAACATAATATATTAACCATTAAAATAAATAAATCATTAATATCCATATTTTTTCATTAAGTGCAAACCAGGTTAAATAGTAGTTTTAAGCCATTAAGGCAAGTATTCAGTTTCTAATTCTAAACAATTTAACCTCCCCGGTTAATGCTCACACCATAATTAAATATTTGATGCACCATATTTAGAACTGTTTTTCCTTTTCTTTCAATACTGACAGCTCCTGTTATATTACTGTAACTGTGGAATCTGAAGAAGTTTAGATTAGTCCAGCTCAAGGCTTAAGCGGCAACACATCTTCATATTCTAATTTCATGAACTACAACTCTTGACAATTCCACAACGGAAATGGGCATTAATCGTTATCAGTTAAAAAAAACAAACATAGCTTTTAGCAATCACTTTGGCACTTAACAGTAACATTACAAAAAGATGAATGAATAACTATGTGTCACTGCAAAAATGTGATAAACTGTAAAACACCAGAATGATCTTGGCCATTTGCTAGTTTCCCAATTAAAGGCTTGAGCCACCAGCTTCGCACCAGTGAGAAGATGAACTACTACTGCTTGTCTCTACTTAGCTGACCCTTTTTGCTTCACACAACAGACATACCACCAATGTTAAGACCGGTGCAATACTATTACAGAAACACACAGTGAGTGAGTGCAGTACGGCTCGTCTGGACCTGCTGAAAGGCCAGCATACTCCCTGCACCGCTATGAGACTGACGTGGATGCGCTCACTTGACGACCTGCTGGGACTCTTCGGGCTTCTCTCTCCTGTCCTCTTTCTCCTTGTTTCCCATGAGGATCTTCATCTGCAAGCCGCCATCTGCGGGACAGAGCTCCTGCAACGCTCGCTCCACTTCTTCCTTTTTTACTAGAGGGCTCGCTGAGGTTTTTGGCAGAGTCATCTGAAGAGCGCACCAGAGAGCCGTGCGCGCTTTGCGTGTGAAGAAAGCCAGATTTTTAATGGCCGAAGCCAGGGCAAGGACCGCTGCAATAAAACCAATATACAGTTATTTTAACAAGGGCGTGCCTAAAGAAGCAGGCTTAAAAGTGCGCCTATTTCACTTCTAAAATACACGTTTTTCCTTTTGGCTTTTCCTGACTTTCCTAAGCCCCTTCTCAGTCGGCATTAAGTAGATGCATTTGTGGTCTACTCCTGTTTTCATGCACCTTATGGCACGGGGTTTAGATTGAGGTCTCTGTGGGAGGCAGCCCTGAAAAAGAGGCATCACAACACTGCTTGTAAAATCAAGCCAAGTTCTGCAGAAACCGGTCGACAATTCTTCGCATCACAGGTTTCCAAACACTAATAAAGATGGCTGGCTCTCGTTACAAAAGCAGTACTTTGGCTCAACCTCTATGGCGATTCGGTGCCCACACTTCCACCTCCTTCCTTACACTGAATTAAACTCCACACCAAGAGAAGGAATATCTATTACTGCCTAATTACCCGGCCTACAACTTGTATTGAACTGCAGCCGTTATCTGCATTTGACTAGGACAAGGATTCACTCAAACAGCAGCAGCACTGGATTCAGTGCTGCAAATGTGTTGGACAAGGAGCAGAGGCGACCCGATTATTATATATTTATGGCTACAAAATTCCAGCTTTAGGGCTTGATAAGATTGGTTTGAAAAGAGGCTGCAATGGTTGATTAGCCATTTAAGTGATAAGAAAGGAGCTTCCAATTAAATGGGTAGTATGTATATATTGACATTGATTCTTAAGTACTGAAGGAAAGCACAGACAGCTGAGCTGGGGTTGTCTCAGTGCGAGAAGCAGCAGCCCTTTCCTTCATTAGATGCTCCCTGCAGGCACTACTGGAAAACAAAGAGTTCATTTATTTAAAACTTTTGTAAGTCCACGACCAAATAATCTCGGGATGGTCTTACGATAAAACAAAAGTAATTTTGTTTTGTCTCTTAGCTACTGGCCCACTCAGCTAAAATCTGTATGATTAAGACTTTTCCTTGATAATAAGAACTGCAAGGTTTTGCACTAACCACACAGAAACCACTTGCCTTTTTCATTACTGTAATGAGGCATTCCTTGTCTCTGAGGATTAACAGCATTAACAATCTCATCCTTGCGCCTTGCTTGGGTAACACGGATGGCTTCCAAATGATGCCCCAGAGTGGTGGATATGTTACTGTGGACGGGAATACCAGCGAGGCGCTCCATCTTCCCAATTAAGGTGCGTACCTAAAAGAGTATGACAAGGCCTCACTGGGGTTTCTAGTCTCGGAAGCAGAATCAGTCAGCCACACTCTCCTCACGACGAGGCACAGCTAGTGGAGGGCACCAGCGCTTCCAGACAGAACTCAAGGCAGCAGTGAGCCTGCTGGTCAAAGCCCTTGTTCCGTTCAGCACCTGCTCAGCTGAGGTCGGGAGAAGAAGCAGTTACAGGCCATTCAGCTGCCCAGGAAAAAGCTGCTCCCCACTGCAGCACGGGAGAGATGAAACAACAGGGCAGCTGCAGGAGCGCGAGCAGCAAGGAACACAAATCAGTTCTCACTCAGAAATCAGAATTCAAGGCACTAGTCTGGCTCATCGTATGTGGCCTTGCCCCAATATGTGCGGAACAGCCCGCGTTCTTTATTTGCATCCAATTAAAATATTCCAGTTCTGCCCCTGCTGTGCCTTAAACAGCTCACAGCACAGCTGACCCTTCCAAATGCAACCTCAGTGGCTCACAAAGGCCCACCTCGGGGTTGGTACATGGCACGCTTCTTCTACATGGCCACGCTCCACCATTCAAGACAGGCAATCTGGATTGCCATGAAAACAGTACTCCAAACAACGCGCTTCACCGACAGCTAGTGAGAACAGGCACATAGGAGGAAAGGCCACCTCCTGGATATCTAGATATGCGATTTATGTAAACAGAAGGGGCACCTGGCCACCGGCATCTGAACTCCCCTCAAAGCACCCTGAACACACAGGCATCTCAACTCCCCGCAAAGCACCCTGAACACACAGGCATCTCAACTCCCCGCAAAGCACCCTGAACACACAGGCATCTCAACTCCCCACAGAGCACACTTCACACACACTTTCCCTCTCCCGGACACTGCGCAGAGGATTAGCTAAGGGCGAGAGCTAAATGCTGCCCACCCCAGCCCCTTTAGGTCAGTACTTCCTGGAGCTAAGCCAGCAGCATCCCGATGCCCCCTGCCGCTCAGCCATCCCATCCCTGGCAGTGCCATTCTGGAAGGCTGGGCTGGAACTCGACCTGCTCAGAACAGGAGCAGAGGTGGCTAAAGGAGAAGCCAGACGGTCGGCAACAAAGCCGGGACCCTCCAAGAAACAGGGCGACCTGCTCAAAGTGCTTCCAAGCTGAGCCTGGCTCGCCTTCACCAAGGAGTCTGCACGGCCCAAGGGATGCAAAACCGCCCACCTGGACAGCTCTGGCTCAGACCGGGTGAACTCATCAGGGAAGATCTGAGGCACACTTGCCCGGGGGGGCACTCACAACACCCCACAATGTCACGCAGCGCTTTCATCACTCGAGACAGCTCCCCGGATACTAGTCTACTGGCAACCGACACATTCCAGCCCAAGCCGTGCAAGCGTGTGTGGAGAAGAGGGGCGGCACTCGCTGTTAGGAGTGGGACTAAAAGATGTGCCCCTGCTCCACATGCCATTACTCACATGCCCCCTCCACAGATCAACCCCACCACGCCCCCTCACGCCAGTTTTTCTCTTCCCCTTCGTGGAGCACATCTTTTGCACTGGCCTGGGCGACTGCCACGGTGTTACCTCAACCTTAAAGGCACCTACTCTGGCCTGTTCTCGGAACTGGTCCACAATCAGACGATCCACCCGGGAAGGTTTAGCAGGAAGCCGGGAAAATGGAGTGTTATTTGAGCTGGATACCCTCTTTCCAGGGAAGTTCCTTGCTAGGTCAGCCTCTGTCTGAAAAGAAAGCAAGGTGTCTTACCAGAATATGTTGCTTTTTCTCTTCCCCTCCACTACTCTGGGGGGAGGTCTTCTTTTTTATCTTAGGTAAAGTGATTATATATTACACTGTTAATTGTGCATAAAAAGCACCCCAGATACCGTATACTGTCACTCCGTAAAAGCCTACTAAATGGCTTGGGACCAAGCTACCTGGAGGAACATCTACATGTCCTCATGCCCCTTAAGATCAGTGGGGGAGGCCTTGCTCCAGGAACCCTCCCTGAAGGAGGTACAGAGGGTATCTACTCGGAGGAGGGCCCTCTCTGCAGTGGCACCCAGACTATGGAATATGCCTGGTGCCAACTCTCTATTCTTTTGGCGCCAAGTGAAGATGTTTTTATTTACCCATCATTTTAATAACTAAATTAATAATTTTAACAAATTAATTATATCTTATACAGTTGCATTTTCTTGTTCTTTCTTATTCTTCCTTTCTCTCTTTATTTTCAATTGTTATTGTTGTTTGTAATATTGCTTTTACTGAATGTTTTAATTGTGTTTTAGATTATGGACTGATTTTTTTTTTAGCCATCCTGAGGCTTGGGCAAAGGACAGGTTACAAATGTCTTAAATAAATAAAATAAAATAACTGACAAAAACAAAGACAGACAGACAAACAGACCTCATGATCTGTGAACACGCTTTGGATTTTAAACATTTTCTGTCATGAACGTGGGCAATTTCGATCCTGCTCCCACCTTTGTTTCTTTCCCCATTCTACCTGGAATCTGGGAACGGAGCCCCCTCCCCCAAGCAGCAGATCTAATGCAATTTTGGGAGAAAATTTGGGGACAGTTGATGCCGCTGTCTACCGCTGCGCAGCACAGCTACATAAGCACAAGTGGACTAAGGAGGCAGGCATGCTTCCCATCCACCTTGATCTGCGCGGATCCTATTCTAGATGGAACATTGCACAGAGTTCAATGTGACACATGAATTCCTGAACGGTTTTTGCCAGGTGGAGCGGAGCCTCCATGTTCAAAGGCACTAAAGACGCCTGCAGAGCAGACTTCTATTTGGTAGCCAGGCATTCTGTGATCCATAGTGCAACTGTACCCTTTCCTGTAGTCATTTCTCTATCATCACACAGAACCACTTCTAAATTCTTCAAACCATTAAATGTGAAATGAGCAAAGTAAATATCCTATGAAATCATGGTAGTTCTGTGGTTTGATCAACTTAATTTACTTTGGGTGTAGAATTTACATGTCTTATGTACCAGTTAGGAAATGTCCTAGTTTTTACATAAGGCTTAACCAAGCCAAATACACAAAATGCCTTGCTATCCTACTCCTCTAAGGTTTATGTTTACCATTTACTCGCTTATGTACCTTTTTCCTTTCCCTCTCAAGTGCTCTCCACTGTTCATAACACTCTTCCAGATGACAATGAAGCTCATTTGCAGGACCACTGCGATTCTTTGGAGGTCTGTAGTGATTAAGCGGTGGTGGAAAGGCAAGGTATGGTGTAGCCATATCTCCACAGAAGAGTTCATTAATGAAAGGGCTTAATTGGGGAAAGTCATCATAATGAAGAAGGTCCACGAGTTCAGACAATGAAAATGGCAATGGAGGGAATGCAACATTAGTTGGTGACGAATATGGAGGGGGATTAAACGGAGGAAAATTAGGCAGGTGTTTATATCCAGACACTAATGGGAAAAGAGGCAGGTAAGAAGGACTGATGAAATCAGACAAGGCAGCACCATTTCGTTCTTGTTTTCTTCTTGACACATCAAGTTGTGCTCGCTCTGCACCCACATAACCTGTGTGTGCAATCCAATTATTTTTACGTCTTCTCTCATTCTGCCCTGCTCTGTCATCGGTGGTATATCGGTTTTGCTTATTCTGAAATTTGTGGTATTCTGTAGACTCATGTATACAATGCTGCTGTGATAAGCAGCTAGAAGAGTTAATAGATATTTTATCATAGTAGCCCTCTGTAGTAGCTAGAGAATCATTCTGTGCAATAGGGTTATGCTGCTCCTGATTTTCTGTGCAACTGGAAAACCCTGAGCCATTGGGAATGTTAGCAAATGTCTGCAACTTCCCATCTTTTATTGAGGACAACTCTGGTGACACCTGTGAATAGGAAGGCTGGGTAACAGACCGATCAGTGGAATATCTACTCGACTTAATTGCAAACCCTGAAGTCATTACAGGGCGCTTTTGCTTCCCGTAACTGACATATGTTGTGGGTATGGGTCTTATCATTTTTGAATCCAGCCATGTATACCCATTGTAAGATGAATTTGTATTCTGAGGAGCTGGTTTTAGAGGCAAGTGATTATAGCAGCTTTTCGGAGGGTGCACGGGGATCTTACACTCGGCACTGCCCAAAGTCATCTCAGCACCAGTGCGATGGCTGCTGTTTTGTGTGGCAGCCTTTCCTTCGGGAAAGCTGGTAGGAGATGGACCAAGAAAGTAAGGATATTGGTAACTAAATGGCGGCAAGTCGCGAACAGCAGTAAAACCCACGTAGCCTGTAGAATACAGGTTCTTTTCCTGGATTGGTGGGTCCCATGTTCCACCTGGATTGGTGGGTCCCATGCTCCCATGTTTTAGTTCAGGAGAAAGGAAATACTCGCTGGATTGTTCTGTATCATCCTCCCCAAGCACGCCTCTTGCTTTGTCAGCTCTCTGACATCCTCTGTAAGCATCAGAACAGTTGCTTTTTCTACTCTGAGAGGAAGAAGTGCTCCCGCTGCCATTATTTAATCCTTTCCGGTCATAATTGCATACGTATTTGAAGCAGCCTAGCGGACTGATTCCATTATTCTTAAAAGCCTTGTTTTCCGGTTTAGCATTCGTCAAAGTCTTCTCAGGTGATTGAGGGCAGGCATCAGAAGGTACAAGCCAGGATCTGGTCACATGGAAATCTTCAAGTTCTTTCTTTAATAGCTCTACAGACGATGACTCTTCCAAGTTTTGTTCACTGGGATTGGTAAGGTGGTCATTTTCCAAAGCTGTTGTAGGAAAAAGCCCTGAGAAACTGCTATTGTGTTCAAAGTCTGATGACCACACTGGTGGAAACAATCTTGACAAAGAATCCCTGTAACAAGTAATACATGTTTTAGTGTTAAACATATTTTTACACCACCACCTATCAACTTGCTTTGTACTGCCTCAGATAATTTTTTTTATCTCACACACTATCATTTACCCTGATATGTAACAGGATTTTTCCAGCACTACTGAATATTTTCTTAAACAGGAGATGTCAGAGACTGAAACTGAGACTTTTCATGAACATTTTTTTAAAATAAGTTCAAAATATGCTGTCTATTCTCAACTCTGTTGCTAATAGGGATGCTATTTTATTGTACAGAAAGAACAGAACCTGCCCTACGGAGAAGAAAGAGGGGTGGGGTCCTAGTTTAATAGTTGTGTCTGTTGATGTAGCTATCCTTTATTGTTAAACAGGACAAGATAGTAAAAGAGAAAGGCAGATTTAAAGGAGAACGTATACTTATCAAAAGGAGGACGTAATTAGCTCAGATACACTACTGAGGAAATCTATTCGGTCCATCTTTGGTGGCAGTATGCCAGTGAGGGAAATTACCCATGGGTAGCATCCACCCATGACACACAGGTGTGTTTCTGTCTTTAGAATTTGTTAGCATCCTAGAGATATGTATACATGTGCCTTTCCTGGAAAGTTGGGTGTGCTACTTTCCTCATGCTATGAACCCATCCTAAGTGATGCTGAAAGCCGATCTGAAAGGAAAAATTGAAGGGTATTAAACCTTCGGATGATTCAGTGCGACTCTGGACCAAAGAGGGTTCTTCAGAAAAAGCGGAAATTTAGAACTAGTAAGGAAGAAGGGAATGAGGAAATAAATCGATGTAGCCACGATCCCAGTGAAGGGGTACACTAGTTCTTTTCTTTTTCTATCTTGTGCTGCTCTTTTTTATTCTTTATGAAGTATTTTAATATTTGTATTGTTGTAGTTAGTAGTTTAAATAAAAAATTAAAAAGGAAAAACTGATTATGCCATTTTGCAGGACAGTCTTCCTAGTAAATATTCTATTAAGAACAGTGTGTCACTACACTGGGCTGATGAGCTGGAAGTCCTATGAATGGACCCCATAAATCCTAACCGTATGTCAACACTGAAAAACTGTTTACAAGCGATACACCTAAGATTTTAGCCAGCGCATGATCAGCATGTACTCCTGTTTGTTAGTGTAGTCATACTCCTACAAAGGTCCACCAACATTTTAAAGGCCATCTGCTGGTGGGGATGGTAAACAGCCACTGTTTTGCACTCTGCCACAGCCAGAAAGACGACCTGTTCAACCTGATTCCATCCTTAAGCCAGTTTGGGCTGCATTAGAAGCCACCAATCCAGCAGCCATCATGTGCACATTTACATGGAAGTAAGTCGCTCCGAACTGAGGACATCCCAGTGCAAATATGCATGGGACCTGAATGTTTGTGGAGATAAAGGAGGCAACCAGCTTGGTGATTATGATACTTTAAAGTATTGATATAAACACTGAGCATCAACTTACCAGTCTGTAACAGTTTCCTGCTTGTTTGGCTCCTCAAGGATGCTTGGCACTAAGCCAAGCATATCAGGGCCTCTGCCTGAATAAGACAGATTTAACTGTGTCCTGAAAACAGAGAGCAAGGAACTAAAAGAAAGAACCCACCAGGGATTCAATCCTCTCCACATTTCAACAGAAAAAGATCCTGCAGTTGCCAGAATTCCCCAAAGAGCATGGCTGGCTGAGGAATGCGAAGAATGGTATTTTTTTAAAATTTGAAGATTTATAGTATGCCATCCTACGTAAAACGTCTTTAGATTTTTTTTCACAACTATCATTCTTAACGGTATTTCAAATTGTTAAGCTCAGCCTTTGAAAGAGGCAGCCTAGTAGAAACATAAAGCAAGATGAGCTAAAGACCTGAACAAAGAATTGAGGGAAAAGAGACACAGCGGTCATTCCGATCACACATGTGCTGAAGATGAGAAAGCTTGCATAACGGCCCCTGCACATCTCCCAGCCTGAAAGGGAAGCACTGCTGTGCTTTGCCCCTTCTTACACCCCCGGTGCCAAAAAAACAGGAGTTATTGTGTTAAACAGGTCTGTGTGAAAATTACCCATAACGAAAGTACCTCTGTTCGAGAAGCCTGGTAGAATGTTGCATGGAGAATAATACTGCAGAACAAATGCACTTTCTCTATGAGTTATTCTCATGCAGCCCTGATTAACACTGACCAGGGAATGCTGAGAATTGTAGGATTTTTTCCCCCTGATGTAGCATGGACAGAATTCTGACCTTAAGTATGAAATGTTAAGGAACAGAACTGCTAGTTTAAATCAGTGTTTGGAAAGATATATTCAACCCCCAGCTTCCACTCTCCCATTCAGAAAAATTTCTAGTAAATGTAAGAGGACGTTTGTACCTCACATCTGTGCAATTGTGTGACGAAGTAACAGCAGCAATATCATCTCCACACGTTGACCAGCTACTGTACAACTGGGGAGACTCCACGGTGGGCGGCGTATTGGTTATCCCGCCAAACAACGGGGAGAACAACTGTGTGTCCATTTCTTGCTTAGTGCAATTTACCTGAGTTGAAATTAGAGAGATTTAGAAACCAATTATTTCACACACCTCCCAATACAGCACTGCCTCTCCAAAAGAGAGAGACACATTTGGCACTCCAGGCAGAGAAATCATACTGAAATAGCTACCTGTCTCATGGCGCTCACTGAGGAAGTGCCAGTGTGCAGCCTGACAGCGGGATCTGATGCAGCGGCCGGGAAGACAACAGGCCTTCTACAGAAGGCGCAAGGGGTCCAGTGGCAATTCCTGCCTGCATGCTTCCCTCGCCCTTCAGTGAGGCTGCGGTGGCCAGTTGCCAAATCTTTCTTCCCAGCCTGCACGGAGAGGCGGCTGAGGCACCACCAGGATCCCCCCTAATTTGGCAGCGCCTTGCTCCAGCCCCCTTCCTGAGTGCCAGTTCTGAAGCTAGTCTTCCACCTCCAGAGCTGTAGCCAGAGTGAAAAGAAGCATGCTAGGGTGGAAGGGGAGTGCTCCGAACCTGGACTTCGAACCCTGGTTCAAGCGGGGCTTCCACAGGCTGGAGCTGGGGCTCGGCCTGTTCCAGTGGCCAGCTGGACAGACCTAGCAGGCACAAGATCGTGCCTGTGCTTCTGGACTGTTATTCCAGGATTAGGAATTACAGTAGCCCATCAAGTAAAATGGACCCCTACTATTCTTACCAACACAATCAGCCAAGACATGAAATTTTGCTGCCGCGTCTTTTGCTGTTAAAAAAGAAACTAAACAAGCCTCTTCTTTCTGGTGCGGTGTTGTGGTACCTCACAAAGTGTGGTGCAGGAGCACATACACTGGGCTGCTATGCCATGCGCGGGTTTGCCTTATCAGGGGAGTCACTGCTTATCACAAACCGCTCACCTTTCAGGAAGACCTACGCTGTCATTGAATGCACACCTGGCAGCCTTTGAAGTGGCATCAGAAGTAGGTGATCAGCGCTGATCCCCACAGCCGCCTCAGCAGGCTGCCAGCAACAAGTGACTGGGCAATCCAGCACACAGAGCCACCAAAAGGCTGAAAGAACAAGTCCTAAAAGACGACCACAGCCACAAAGGAAGTAGAGCGAGGCTCGTGCCAACAGAACCAGCACACTGCTGGGAAAGGATTGTCCCTTCGCGCTCTTTGCAGATGATCAAGACCACCGCAGACCTGCTACACTAACTTCCCAGTTGGCGATTAGGAGCTTGAATTTATCCTTCATGCATTTGATGGACTCAAGTAATATTTACGTAATATTTGCATATGCGTTTGAGTCAGACTAAGAATAGACAAGTGGAATGTGCCGACTGCAGCAAAAAATTGCCGTGCATCCCGCTGCTCCAAGACGGGTGGCCTGTTCCATGCTCTGGACACCCTGGCACAAGTGGGGGGCGCCATTTTGCTTCCCTCTCCTCCAAACAGCCTTAGCTGCGGTCCTCAAATGTGAAAGGCAGAGGCGTTCTGGAAACAGAGAAAAGCAGCAAGATTCCGTGCTGCCTTTCTCTCCTCCTGGAATGTTTGTTTACAGCTTTTCTATCCCCTCTTGGGAACAGGCCTGCATATTCAGGGCAAGGAGTTTCCCCAAGAGCATGCACCGCTCCCAGTCTAGCCTCCCCTTCACAGGTCCTTGCAGGCTGATGTGGCTTTTTAAAAATACACACACAGAGAAATTTACAAACATACACTTTCACAACTAGGTCACTCCCTGAGAATGCAGATACTATGACCTTATATTTGGGAGGCTTGTTTCACCTCCAAGCTGTGTTTGCTAAGAGGAAAATGATTGCTCAATGAATCCTGCAGCTATGGACTCACCTGTGGCTTGTAACAACTGAACGTGGCACTTTGTTTAACCATGGTCCCGCTTTCAGCGCACGAACTGTTGTTTCCAAAATGACTAACTTTTCCAAACAAACAGAGGTTGGAAGTTGCAACAACAGGTTTCACCTATTTTGAAGATAATTCAACATTTTAGTAAACAGTCGCTTACCAAACACTTCATAAAACTATTTAGGACTAGTAGTTAATTGGCATGTAGGCCAGTATTCTGATGCAAGGAGTACAGAGTAGAATGAGAAGAAAGTAACACTGAATCTGGTTCTTTACACTAACTGGATTAAGTTGTGCTTAGCACACACTGGCATTGGCTTCTTCTAGAACTTTGCAACCCAAACCGTAAGAAAGGTTGCCCAGCAAAAACAAGAACATGCTACTCAATATACGGCTTAAATAGTGTGTCAAACGCAGTACTGAAGAATCATCAGCTATCTCCCTCTCTCTTACACATATATGACATGGATCTACAGGGGCTGCAAACTAAAGCAGAAGACTGTAGCTTTCTTACATCCCCCTGTATTGTTTTTCCTTCTAAACACTGACCCTTCAGCCCCTTTTTGCTCTGCAAGGGAAACAACACAGGTATTTTCATTTTCCCAGCAGAAAAATGCAATATTGCTGGTTTATCACTAAAAAGTTCAGCTTCATTCTTGTCAACAGTCTTCTCCAGCAGAGAAGTTTATTTCTTCTTCTTCTTGCTACTTTCTTCAAAGTTCTGCCCCTTAACTTCCTCACTTAACCCTCTGCTGTCCTTTTTCTATATCAAAAGTTCAAGATGTGTACTTTATACATACATGCTGCAAACACGTTACCTCTTCTCTACAGTTTGTTTTGAGCAACTGCATCATTTTCCGTACTTGCTCATTCTCACATAGGCCAGTAGTTAACAGATCTCAGCTGCAGTAGGTCCTCTTACCATCATCCCCTAGATAATTTCTTTCAGATTGCAGAACTTACTGCAGCAGAAAACCAAGGCCTACCAATTCACAGATCACTCTGGTCAGACAAGGACACCAGTACTAAGAAAATGCGGCTGAAAGAAGCTAAATGCAGCTTCTGAGCAGGCCCTGAGGCTCTGGCTCACGGTATATTTTCTTGAAATCAGTTACATCACAAAGCTTAAAATGCCTTGCTTCAGAATAAGGCAGTGCCGTCTTTGTCTGAACTTCATATTCATTACATCATGATCCCCTTGTCTTTCTGCTGCCATGTCTTTTCCTGTAAAGCTCAGACTGTTCTTCATATCAGGCCTCGTAGTATTTTCCTAGTCCCTCTTCCTTAAATTTTCTTCCTTACATGCCCTGCTTTTCCTCAGACTTCCTCCTCCATCTAGAGTTCCTAGAACTCTTCTCTTCCGTTCAATACCTGAGCCATGTGTCTGGTAATGCAGTCCTGTCCTGTCCTGCCATGCCTTGCCTCTGGACTGGCCCAGATCCACTACCCGCATGCAGCTCTCCACACAGTACCACACACCTGGCTACCTATAAACCTTTGAGATACTGTACAACATGCAGAATAACAGCGTGTACTTTTTAGTTGTTTGAAGTATTTTAGTTTTGTTTATTTATTAAATCAAACTCAAATAAAAATCAGATCAGATGCAAATCTATTGAAGACACTGGAAAATTTTCCAGAAAAAGGTTTGGTTCAACGTCTTCTGGGAAATATCAATATGCAAAGACTATTTTAGTCTCCAGTTAACTTTGCTCTCTTCATCTAATCTCTTGTACAGCTAATCTTTTTTAACTTTCAGGGTGCCCTCCCCCTGCTCTTCAAGAACTAGCATGCAAACGGCAAGTGAAAAATTTATTCTAACATTCCAGTGAATTTGTCTGCTTTAAATACAACACACAGAAGTCACTCTACACATTTCACAACTCATTCCCCTCCCCTGATTCAAACAAGAAGAGCTGCCCAATTGGAAATTCTGTCCCCTCTTCCTGCCATTAAATCTTCAAACAAACCTGGAGACCTGGAGTTACATTTGCTTTCTGTATGCACACGTCCTCATGAACACAAGCCACAGGGAGCAAAAGGCACCATCTCTGTATACATTCTGCTCTTCCAACAAGTTCAGTGTAGCTGCCTATACGCTGCTCTATGGCAACACAACCAACTGCCCTCAAGGCCGCTGCTACAGGACGCTTACACATGACCACTCCATTACCACTCAAATACAGAAACTGTTGCCAGGTTATGATGCCCTTCCCAACCCACTGGAGCAGCAGGATAAACAAACAAGGTAAATTCAAGGTTGCGTCTATGCACAAAAGCAAAGTCCCAAGACAAAGAAAGTTACGAAGCATGCATAAGGCTTTTAATCACTTTTAATTTTCAGAACCTACTGAAAGCCTGATCATACTTGAAAGGTGCAATGTATTCACCAAAGAGACAATTCTTACTTAAACAAATCTAGAGCATTAAGTCTCCCATGGCGCATTATTTCAACCTGCCAATGACCTGCCTGCCTTTGCTAGAAAACAAGAAACACTGAGCTGCCATTTCTGACCTTCCTTTACAATCATCCTCAGCCAACACCTGATGTCACTGGAACACCACAGCATGCAGAAGTATAATGGGAACTGTAGTCCAACATAACTCCAACAAACTTTCTTCCTTCACTTATCAGAATTTTTATAATTAGGAGTAAACAGAATGCTATTCTTGACACTTAAGTCCAAGATGTAATACAATCAAAAACAGCAGCAATATTTAATCAACTATATAACAAAGCAGAACATTCCCAGAAAATTCTTTACTCAAAACAGCACGCTTGATTAAAAGCCTCCAACAAAAGAACAACGAGATTTCTGATTCTCCAAACTCTCTTGAATTTTGTATAATTAGGGAGAAATCACCTTGCAAATACTGAAAGATTTGCTGGTCTGCAAATGTTCACCAACCTGCTCACATACATGCAGCTAACATACAACAGGTATCTTCAGCAATGTGCCTGGCAAGCCATTTGCATGGAATTACCTGCAGCACAATCCTCCAGTTGTTTACTTGTAACTAGGTCCCATAGTACTCAATGGGGCTTACATCCCAGTGATGTACGCATTCTGTTGCAGCTTCAGGCAAGTGGCTACCTGCAGGGCTAGAACAATCCAAGGAAGCAAGTTGCTGTGGAAACCATGAATGTTATGCTGAAAGATTTGAACAGATTCCAGAAGTGTTGTGTTGCAACAGCAGAAAAGGCCAAAGAGGTCTTAGGCACCTTTGGACACAGTCCAATCATCTTCAAGGCAGACGCTTATAAGCCTCCAAACCAAGAAATTTGCAAATGTCCAATGCAAAGTGTAAGGCACTGCAGTGCTCGATCTCTGCTGTACCTTGCATATTTCATTTTATCTAAGCAGATAATTTTGGCCATCCAGATGTCTGGCCAGCAAGGGGGAGGGATGGCCCTGGGCACTGATTGGAAACAGGTGTAACCCATGGCCCCAGCCTTCTCAAGCACACCTGTTTTTCTTTCTTTCAAGGCCGAAATGTAACCTGGGGGTGTGGTGTCAGCCAGCCAGTTCTTTCTGTACCAGCTGCAAATGGCTGGGGCCTCAGCTTTCAAAGTCTGAGCACTGAAAGAGGGACATTGGATCATAGGATTATGCCCTCATCCCCCCCAACACTCGAATTATTTCTTCTAACTTGGGGAGTAGTTGCTACTGGAGAAGCACTGCTAATTCCTGGGGGAAAGGCACACAGTCCCTTGATTCAATGCCTTGCACTGCCAGGGTCGCTTTCAAATGGGTGGCTCCTGCTGCGAATACATCCGTGTTCTTCTGCTGTAAGCTGCAAACAGAACCATGACCGACTATTGAACTTTTCCTGTATGTTCATCTAACTACCTTCCATCCACATCAGTGGATGCAACACAGCTTCTCTGGGTAGGAAGGCACAATTCACCCCAGTGGCCAACTAAAGGGGACGGGGACGGGGACGGGGACGGGGGGGGGGGGAAGCAAGCAATGCTTTTAAAAAGCAAAACATTTTAGAGTGACATGCTTATTCATTTAAGCATGACTGCCTATTACTATCCATGACATGCTGAAAAAAACATTTTGTGTTACATCAGAAGTAGAGATTAGAATCATTTATGGAAAGAGGCATATTGCTAGAATGGCCAAAACAAAGGGGTGGGTTTTTAACAGGTTTATACTGCTCTAGCACTATAACACTTTCACTAAATCAGTATTTCACTCACATGTTAAGATTTAATAAAATTGTAAGTTAAAAAGCTATACATACTATAAAAGTTATAGAAAGTGTGCAATAGCTACACCTACCTGATATGCTAACACCAACATCAATGCTGCACTTAGAACAAACAAACAACCAAAACTTAACACTAAGTTAAACTTAACACTAGTGCTAAGATTGTTAAGCAGTGCTTGACATCATCTATGCCTGCAGAGATGGCACTAATCTTCCACCCTTCTCAAAATATTCAGTCTTTCTGCAGTAACAAAATGGATAGAAGTAGCACAGAAGGAAAAAAGGAAGGGCTGCAAATGAATGATGTTACCACACAGAACACAAGTGAATTAAGCATGGCAATTCTACACTAATTCTTCTGGTGGTGAAAACAATCCAGGCAGGATTCTGGGGATGCCTTGGAGAACTGCTCCCAGTTAGTGCAGAGAGCACTGAGCTAGATGAATCAGGAATCTAATTCAGTGTAAGGTGGCTTCCCACATTCCTAGGAAGCAGGAGTATTTAGAAGTGACTTGCATTAGTTGACACACCATGGAGAATGACTCTGGAGCTGCAGAACTCTGCCCTTGGACAAGAATTTCGGAGAAGCAGTTCCCATAAAGCTCCCTCAGTGACTTTGGGCCGGGCAGGGGATCTTGGTCAGCCTACCTCACAAGACTGTTGTGAACAGAAGATGGCGACGAGGAGAATGACTCTGGGCCAGGCAGTGACTTTGGGCCCAGCCGACCTCTTGGAATTGAAGCAAACAACATGGAAAGGCAGGGGGGATTAGGCCTGTCTAGGCTACCTCACGGGGTTGTTGTGAAGATAAATAAGAGGAGCAGCAAGAGGCGTAGGCAGGCCGCCCTGGGAAAACGGCATATCGCTACAAGCAAAGAAAGGACGGGCCGCACGGGGCCCGCTTAGGGCTCCGACTGGCGCACCGGTCCTGCAGGGGAGGATCGAGGGCGCGGGGCCTTCCCCGTCAGCCGGGGGGCAGCAGCGGAAGGCGCCGGCCTAGCCCGGCGGGGGGCCTCCGACCTCCCCACCGTCAGAAAAAGCGGGGGGCGGCCGCCCCGACCCGCCGCCGCCGCCGCCGCGGCCCCCCCGCAACGCCTCACCTCTGGCCGCGGGGGCGCGCCCGGGAAGGGGGCCGCCAGGGCGCGAGCGCCGTCCGCCACCATCTTGGCCGCGCCTCCCTGCGGTTCCCGCCTCGGCGCCGGGGCACGGCGGCGTGACGAGGCGGGCCCGCCCCTGACGTCACCGGCTCGCGCAGCCGCAGAACAGAAAAAGACGCGCGGGGGAGTGGGCCGCGGGAAGCCTGGCGAGGCGCGCGCTCTCCGCCGCGCCGTGACGCCCTTAGGCGCGCGCTCTCCCGCGGCCGAAGCGACCGTTGGCGGGCGGGCGCGCGCGCGCGCGGGGAGCGCCGCTCACAGTAGGTGCCCCGCCCCTTCAGCGGCTTCCCTGGAGACGCCGTGAGCGAGAAAGCGGGCGGGATGGACACGGCACTAAAGGAAAAGCGCGAGGAGGGATGAGGAAAACAAACGGGTTCAGGCACCCCTTCTTCGACTAGAAATGACCCTCTAGCAAGTAACTGGAACATAATGAATATATATGTTTGTTGCTAGTCGCGAAGTCGTGCCGACCCATTGCCACCCCACGGACAACACTCCTCCAGGCCCCCCTGTCCTCCACCATCCCCTGGAGTCCACCCAAGCTCCCTCCAACTGCTTCAGTGACCCCATCCAGCCACCTCATCCTCTGCCGTCCCCGTCTTCCTTTGCCGTCAGGCTCTTCTCCAGGGAGTCCTTCCTTCTCATTAGGTGGCTAAAGCATTTGAGCCTCACCTTCAGTATCTGGCCTTCTAAAGTCGGGGTTGATCTCCTCCAGGACTGACCGGTTTGGTCGCCTTGCGGTCCAAGGGACTTGCAGAGTCTCCTCCAGCACCACAATTTCAAGGCCTCAGTCCTTCAGCGCTCAGCCTTCCTTATGGTCCAGCTTTCACAGCCATATATTGCAACTGGGAAAAACCATAGCCTTGACTATACGCACTTTTGTCGGCAGGGTGATGTCTCTGCTTTTTAGTATGCTGTCCAGATTTGCCATCGCTTTCCTCCCCAGGAGCAAGTGCCGTTTAATTTCTTGGCTGCAGTCCCTGTCTGTGGTGATCTTGGAGCCCAGGAAAATAAAATCTGCCACTACCTCCATTTCTTCCCTATTGTTACCAATTGCAGCACCCCAAAACACCCCAAGAGTAATTGGCCAGAGAAAGGCCCCAAAAGTAGTTGGCCAGAGGAAGGCCACACAGTAAAAACACCACAGTTATCCTGCCCCAGAAGGGAGGGGGGGATAAGAACAAACTATACTTTGTGTAACCCACAGCTGACACGCTAGCCTGACCTCGAATATGGTAATCAAAGGGTCAGTGGAAACGGGTTGCAGCCGCCATGAAAGTCGCAAATGTGCAGGGAGTAAGAACATGGCAAGCCTGTGTGAATCTCGAGCAGGTAAGAAATAGGCATGGGAAATGTCTGGTCCTTGACAGAAGAAAGGACTCTTTCTCCAGCACGGGAGGGGTGCATCCGTTGATGTATCGATGCATTAGATGTGTATTAGGTACCTAATTTGTTACCTAGGGTATAAAACGCATGTACTGGGGTGCAACTTGTGAGACACTGCTTTGGGCTGAATGTCCCCTTTTGTCTCCCTTTATTCTATAGTGCACTAGAATAAAGCTGGTTTTGGCTCTAAGTCTCGTCTCAGGCTCTGTTTGGCTCGGGTCTGGGGTCCACCCGGGTTTGCCCCAGCTGTTGACTGGCTCAGTCCAGTAACACCATCTATTTGCCAGGAAGTGAGAGGACCGGATGCCATGATCTTAGTTTTCTTAATGTTGAGTTTCAAGCCAACTTTTGCGCTCTCCTCCTTCACCTGCATCAAGAGGCTCTTTAGTTCCTCTTCACTTTCTGCCATGAGAGTGGTCTCATCTGCATATCTGAGGTTGTTGATATTTCTCCCAGCAATCTTAATTCCAACTTGTGATTCATCTAGCCTGGCCTTTCGCCTGATGTGCTCTGCATATAAGTTAAATAGGCGGGGGGACAATATATTGTATGTATATATTATACATTATATATACTATAGTTGAATGCTATAATAATATAATACACACACAAGTAACGACTACAATATAATTTATTTTAATGTTTTGGTTTTTATGATATTTGTGTTGCATTTTATTGTTTTGTTTTATCCACGGATGTAAACTGCTCGGAGAATTTCAGTATAGAAATGGAATAATAATAACATTCACAATATTATAATACTAATCATTAATATTAAATTTTGATAATGCTTCCTGAAAGGTGCATGTAGTCCCACAAGATGGGGCTTGAACATTGCATCCGCTATCCAGCAGCAGCCATCCGAACATTGGATTGGAAAGTATCTAAAACCCCCAAATGTTTAATAATAAGATTAGTGGAAGCTAACAAACTACACTTTGTTCTAGGACTCCCACTTTAAGAAAAGAACTAAATAAACTGGACAAGGTTGTGAGGATCTTAATAATCTGACAGTGAGAAAGGATCTAGTAATGACTGAATAATGGAAGAGTGGGAAGGAGCCATGAAGGCCTTCGAGTCCAACTGACGAACTAGCGCTGGTACAGTCCATCCCCTGCCCAAGCGAATTTGTAATTGGGCAGTCATTTTCCAAGGCCCACCTGCTGAGCAAAAGGGACATGACCTGGTGTACGTTTGCCCAAAATGCTCAACAGGGGAAGGTTTTCTTTTAAAGATTTATTCTCCAGAATAACCAACTGCCAAGAATCAGTTCCAGTTGGCGCACCTGAGCAGTCCTCAGTCAGTCCGTTTATACATTAAAGGCTTACAGGTATTAGCCAACACTTTCCAGTAGATTGCATTAGTTCCCTGCCTGCATACCAAAGCATGCAGGAACCCAAAGCAGAAAAAAGGAGGAGGGGAGCCGGAGAGGAGGGTGGGATGGGGTGGTGTGAATTGCCCTTTGTTTGCACCATTATCTGTCAAGGGCCAACTGGCCCCCTCCGGAATGGAATAGTGTCTGGTTAAGTTCAGCTACATTTCAAGGATGCAACACATGCCGATTTCTAAAAAAGAGGGTTTTTCTCCGGCTTAGCTATGTGTCAACGATTGCATGATTTAACCAATAAAAGTTACGCCTCTTGATCTGTACATGACACCCATCTCAGTTTGGCTCGATTTGGCTGAGGGTTCCAGAAGCTGACCTGCATTATATAGGGCCCTTTGGTCTTTAAAAAGCTGCTATTTGATTACGCTGGACAGCTGCCACAGGGCTAGCGAGGTTCAGGGACCAGAGGAACCCAATGGGACAGGTTTCCCAGCAGAGTCAAAGGGAGCAGATGCCCTTTCTCTCCATCTGCTGCAGCCTGATGGCATGGCTATAAATGCATTTGTTAATGGTTGTGGTATTGGAATTGTCCCTTTCCAACAGGGCTCAACTGGGTGTAACGGCCTGCATGGGCTGCAGTTTGACCTGGTGGATGCCTGCCTGCCTGCCTGCCATGCCACCATCAAAATCCACAAGGCATCAGTTGTGAAAGACAGCCATGGAAATCACAGCTCTGAACCCATCCCTGAAGCCACCCACTGCCCTCCAGTCACATTTTTTAACAGATGCACGACACGGCCTTTTATCTGTCTAGCTCACAAAGCCTTATGCCACCACTCCTACGGTGCCAAAAGATGTTTGGCTGCTTTTGTTGGGAGAGACGAACCCAAGTACCTGGCTGGAATTCCTCCCAGTTCTAGTTTCCTTGAGATGGCAGACTTCCCAGCTTGGATGGAAAAGCAAAGACTTTTCTGCCCGGTCTTCAGCTAAGCAGTTTTGAAATAGAAGACAGAGCATATGCTCTTCCTTTGAATAATAGATCCCCTGCAGTGCCTTGGCAGAAATATACTAAATGTTGTTATTATTTTGTGCCATCAAGTTGTCTCCAACTTAGGGCAACCTTGTCGATTAAAACCCTTCAAAACGTCCTATTCACAACAGTTCTGCTCAGCTCTTATAAGTTCAAGGTAGTGGCTACAGTGTTGGTTAAAAAAAAAAAAAAAACAAGGATAACCTAAACACATTAAATCAAAATCATTTATTGGTAGACAAAACATTTAATGTTTATGATGTTTTACTATCAGGAATCTGACACACAACTATTTCCCAGACAATTTAATGCTCTGCAGTAGAATGTAGTGGCCTTTGAGAGAGCTTCTGATCTGCGCCGATGCTATAAAACTGGACAGCTTTAAAAATAGTTACACATTGCATAATTCTAAATCACTGCCCAGCGCATGCTCGCCTTAAAATTGCAATACTATTTCTTGAAAGGCCGGCCAACTTAGAAAGCGCTCGTCGCCAGAATGTGTCGTTTCCCAGAGTTTACCCGCTGTGGTCAGCCCCATCCATCCATCGTTCTGTGGGGAGGGCTGGGGTGGGAAAGCTCACCTGCACTGCCAGGTGTTCCAGTCCCAGCTGCTGCATTTCAGCTGTGTGAATTGACATGGTGCCATCAGGTGGGGTTGACATGATGCCGTGCCTTAAAAACGGCTCTGCAAGGAGAGAAGATGGCTCAGTGCCGGGTGCTGGCATCACTAGGAGCGAGGAGGAGCAGAGCAAACGAGACTCGTTCATGGGCTCTTCTTGCATTAGCTTGAGATCAGTCTTTGCTCCCCTCTCCCCCCAATTTTTAAAGGCTGCAGGCACCGCTACAGCCTGGCACACAGCACCATGGGACCTGCAGGCGGAGAGGACCGTGCAAACCAAAAAAAGTCACGGAAGTGTTTCTCAGACGTGATTATACCTCCATGGGGATCTCAAAAGGAATCAAAAGGGGATTTGTATACTTCATTTGGATCGTTTCGTGGTTTGGGACTTCTAAAAAAAATCTCTAAACTATGTAAGGTGAACAAAAATTCTCATTTGTGACATTTTCGTTGGATCTTACAAAGAAATTGTCTAACTGTAGATTTTGGACCAATGTGCTTTCAAAGTCTATTTTCTCAAAACAGCCAAACATTTCATATGTTGAATAACACATGGTAAAAGCTACCTCAGAACTGCAACAATGATTTTGGAATGCCAAATCCACAACATGAGATCTTTCCTCTGATTAACAGCAGCACCTCCCCCAGCTGATATATTGAATACTTTCCACAGTGATCAAGAAGGCATATTTGTCGAAACAAAGGCAGTGCTTTATAGTGGCTCTTTTTAAGTGGCAGTGGTTATTCTTAATGTAACTGAGGATCAGTAGAATGCTTTGTCTTCATAAATTATAATAAATATTTTATCTCACCTCAGAAAGCTGTCGTACAAATCCACAGAAACACTGTTGCTCAAAGGAGCCATTACCCCATTCAGAAGCCATTCCACGACATTTCAGACTCTCAAAAGCAATTTCTCTTTTAGCATACGGTCGAGGTTTTCTGATTCCGTCTCCCTGGCAGTGACCCATTTCTCCTGCTTTCCCCCCTCTCGTCTGCAGCCACTGCCAGAGAGAGAAATCAAAACAGCAGAGCGGTATTTCCCTCTTACTTTGCGACAAGAGCAAGCTGAGGCCCTTTCGGGGTGCAGGACGCTCCCTGCCTGCCCCAGGTGTGGAGCCAGGCACAGGCTGCAAGTGGTCTCCAAATGCAAATGCCGAGGCTGACAGCTGCCACTGGCGCATCTGCCAATGCGGCCCCCCTTGAAGAAGCTTCGGTGTGACTCAAAGATGCAGCAGCTCAGGCTGGAGTTTCTTCAGCTCCTCTGTCATCTGCTGAATGGAAGGAAGGACGGAAGGAAGGAAGGACGGATGGACGGACGGACGGATGGTGTGGCTGTTTGGCAAATGTAGAAACATACAGACACACACTGGGGTACTCAGTTTATTGCCAGGGATTCCTCTAGTCCAAGCTTTACTGAAAAGTATGGTGTGTCAGATGCCCTGATGCATCCTGGGAAGGAGAAAACACACATCTGAATGAACTTCAGACCCATCAGGCTTCTTCAGCAAGTAAGGCAGATGCGGTCCAGCATGGGCTGATTCTATTTGCTGTCAAGTTTGGGCCACCATTTTGGAATGGAGGCAGTGAGGCTCACATGGGAGTCGCCGGAGACTTTTAGGTGCAGGGGTTCGTTTATGTTAGCCAATCGCAGGAGGGCGATGCCAAGCTGGTCCACCCCAGCCCGGTACTTTCCGGCAGACTTCCCTGATTCCGAAACGATCTCAGCCCCCTCGGGGATGCTCTCGGAAGGCACAGGAGATGAAAGCTCTATTGGTAAGAGGCGCTTTCGAATGACACCCATGTGGTGGGTCCTAGCTGTTAACTCCTGACCTATGTAACAGCCTTTTGTGAAACTGATCCCGTTCATATAAGCCAGGTTGGATTCCAGAGGCAAAGCTATTCCAGAAGGTAGGTCTTTGATGCCTTCGGGGACACCTGGAAAAGAAAGGTAAGCATGAACATCAGCCACAACTTAATAGCAACTTGCGAGGCAATACTGTAGATTATTTGGGGCTGTTGCTGGCTACGGCCGAGAAGTTTTGGATGGGGTCAAACCCAGTGATCAAATTCCCAAAGTTTATAGACGTGAGGCAGCAGCATTGTCCTAGAATCTGCTTTTGCTGCACACAGTCTTCAACATTTGACAGAAAAGGTAGTTTATAACAACTGCTTGGAGACCCTTTCGAGTTCTGGCTCTTTTTCAGCCAGTTTGGAGGGGTATAATCAGTCATGAAGAATCCCGTTTATACTCTCCAAAACGTAAGTCTCTGTGGTGCAGATGCTCAACATGTTCAGGAAAAGCACCTGATGTTGTTTTAGTCTGAAGCAAAGTTTTTTGCTTACATAAGCAGCATAAAAACCACTAGTCCAAAACCCCTCTTTTCTCATGATTGAGACAGTAATGCAAACTGTAAGGTTCCATTGAGTTCTGTGGAGCTTACTCTCAAGGAAGTGCACACAGGATTGCAGATCTGAGCCATAAAAACCATGAACAAAACGAGGGAAGCTGCAGGGTTATGTTAAATTAACAGTAACAACTGTCAGAGCAGATTTTCTGGGCATTACTCGCACATAACCCCAGTCCTCTACCAGCTTCACTGGCTCCCCATCGAAGTCCGGGCTCAATTCAAGGTGCTGGTAATCACCTACAAAGCCCTTAACGGCTTGGGACCTGGACACCTGAAGGAATGCCTTCTTCCGTATTTGCCCTCCCGCCCCTTGAGATCAGCCGCAGAGGCCCTCCTCTGGGAACCCTCTGTGAAAGATATTAGGAGGGTGAGTACCCGGAGGAGGGCCTTCTCTGCGGTGGCGCCCCACCTATGGAATGCGCTCCCCAGAGAGGCCCGCCTGGCGCCATCGTTATTTGTTTTTTGGCGCCAGGCCAAGACTTTTTTATTCAAACAATATTTTAATAACTATTAATATTATTTATTGGTTTTAATTTTTACAGCCAGGGTGAATCTGGATTTTAATATGTATTGTTTATATCCATGTTTGTTTGTTTATTTTATTTTTATTTTATTTGGAAAATTTCTATGCTGCCCCATTCGCCGAAGCCTCGGGGCGGCTTACAAATAAATCAATTAAAACACTATAAATCCCGAGGCTCATGCGAATGGGACAGCATACAAACACTCCAAATAAATGAATAAATTTTCCATGAGAAGAGATGGCACATCGGCACTCAAGTGCAGGATCAATGTAGTTTAGAACTAGCTTGTCTCTGGCCCACCACAGAAGCAGGCACTTCATGGTAAGCAGTCCCAGCTTCGTGTTCTTAGGATGCCGGGGTTTTCCTGCTCCGAGGCTTGGCCACACGATAGCCCACACTGAAGAGCCCAGTGGAGCAAAGTTTAGGGAGCCAAGATTTAGAATGGGTGTCAGAAAGCACTTCCTGATGGTTAGGACCCCCAGGATACGGAATGGGCTTCCAAGGGAGGTGGAGGCCCAATCAATGAGGGTGTTCAAGAAAAGACTGGGCAACCACATGTTGGGGATTACGTGAGCGGAGCTGGCTGGAGCCGGGGGTCAGACTAGATGGCTCAGGAGACCCCTTCTGACACACTTTGTATCTATGTTTCTAAGAGGTTGCCCATCTATGCCTTAAAAGCATGGCGTTCGCCTGGGCAGAGTTCCCGAACTCACTGAGACCTAGGGAAGCCTGCTAAATCCACGGAGGGAGGACACTTAAGCTTCTCTATGTACATGCACAGTGATTTTGCCCTAATGGATCCTTAAAGCCCTTTCATTCCTCGCTGCGTACGAAGACTTATTTTAAGATGCACGTGACTTCCCAAGAAACCCCTCTGGGAACTGTTCGCTCCTACAAACGCACACACAAAAAAGCTGCCCTTCATCACTTCTCAGTAACGGGGAGATGCTACCGGAGGGGCTTTTTCTGGGTTAATGTCACATGGTTTCAATGAACAAGATTCCCTCTGGTGGGGGAAATATCATGGGAATCCCAGTTGGTGAAAGGCTTATTTGAGCAACCCAAGTACACCAGCATCCTCACATTCACGAGTCCGGTTGTCTGCAATTGGTTGCAGCGTTCTCGTGATTTCTGCAGGGAGGGATTCAGACACCAACGCTTGGCTTGGTTTGTCCGTGGATTTTTCTCACAACTCCTAGCTGATTGATCACCAGCACAGGGCATCAGGCACTTCTCGGCCACCCTTCGTTCTTTTCCAGTGGGCCAGGGTTTGAACCAAAAAAGAACGTAAACCGGTCCAATTTTATAGCCAGCAGTAAACGCCTGAAACACACATTGCTCTCCTTCGAAGTTCAGCAGTTTGCAAACATTCCACTTGCCAAATAGTGAGTCATAGGTCAATTTAAATTAATGCTTAGGAAAACCAAAGTATATCATTCACATGGTGGGGGAATCAATCATGTTAATTTCTTTTAATGTCCAGAGTGCATTAATTTGCTGAATGAAATGAATATGGCTTGCGCTTTGCATTACAGTGTGAGCCTACACAAGTTTACTCAGAAGTAAGTATTGCTGTGTTCGTTGAGGGTTACTCTCAGGAGCAGGAGCATCGGATACAACTTCAAAGTACAATTCTATACAAGCCTACTCAGAAGTAAGCCCCACCAAATTTGATGGAACTTGTTCCCAGGTAAGTTGTGTAGCATTGTATAGGATTGCAATCCTCCATACACTTGCTAGGATGCCCTTTCAGAGGCATTTCTGAGCAAAACCATACAGGACTGCCTGGTCCCAATCTGGCAGCATTTCCTCCACTGCCATTGAAATGAATGGGGCTGTCACAGGAAGACAGCTTCCAAATGTACCCCTGGAACATAAGGAGTATCGGTTTATTTACTTATTCATGTATTAGATTTATTTTCCTCTCAATCTTATCCCTGCAACAAGAATCCTGTGAGGTAGCTTGTGCTGAAAATCTTCACCTGGTCCACACCAGCTGGCCTCGTGGCTGAGCAACAGCTGGAACCTGGACTGCCTGAGGGCCAGAGCCGTGCTCTTAACCACTACGCCACACTGGCTCTTCCATAGGTTCCCACAGTCTCTCTTCTAACAACCTGGCATTCATACTAAACAATCCAGGAATGGGGCATCCACGGTTTGTTTAGCTCCTCCCACTTGCAGCAGGGGCTGCTTGGTGGTGGGATTCAACGTGCGTTCTCACTCAACATTCAACAACACAGGAAAAACAGAAAAGAAAACGGCCAAGCCGTGGCCATTGTTTGGTTATGACACAAGAAAGCAGGCAGATTAATGCAGTATTTTGTGGCGAAATCTACACTCCACTGACATCAGTGGCGAACCACCCGTGGATTTTCGCGTCGCCAGTTAATTATGGGGACAATGCTCAGAACATTCTTCTCCTCCTCAAGTCCTGTGGAAATCAAGAACAGCGCAAGGCCAGATCCCAGCTTCAGTAAAATGAACGGGGCCCTTAGGAAACTGTAAAATTCTTGCTTGACAAGCATCCTTCCAAGTTTGCATGTGCCTGGCCATCTCTCTAAGCCTGTTCCTCTGAAAATGCTCCTCCAAGGAAAAAGTTCACCAGCTCAGAGCCAAACAGCTCCCTCACCACAAACTGTTCCTGAATATATTGTTGGTTTGGGTAATTCCCCAACTCAACCGATCTTAGTGATGGGCTAAGCAGGAACAGCTTCGGATCCCAAAATAAAGAGACTCTTTCACAAGCACTGGGTATATGGGAAGTCTGTTTTCATGCTTTGGGGCATGTTCCCTGCCCCCATTAGGAGAGCTATTTTTAATACTTGGTGGAAAACTTTACGAAGAAGAAAACTTCTAGTTCTTGTTCATATGATGATGCGATTTGTAAAACAAAGCTTACAGTCAGATGAGTCCTGCTTGTCGCTCCAGATAGCATTATAGGACTGGTTATGCTGGAAACCCTACGACTTCCCCAGCCTTTCGTAACGTGTGTAGTGGGGAAATAAGATGCAGGTTTTGAGCATGTTTCATAGTTTTGTACAGACAGAAAAACTGAGTATAACATTTTCCCGATGGCACTACTCAGGTTGCCAGGATTGTGGAGGCACAACAGAAAGCTCCCCCCCCCCCCACCCAGCCCACTTCACACAGAGACTGCAATCGGGTTAGTATCAAAGGTTAGTCTTGTGTCGAGTAGACCCACTGGAATGAATGGGATTTAAGTTACGCACCACCGACTTAAGGCTAATTCATTTGAATTGGTCTGCTCTAAGTACAGCTAAGATTGGCCGTGAGCCCCCGCATAAGAACATGAGAAAAGCGTGGATCCATCTAGTCCAGCCCTCCGTACACATGGTGGCAAGCCAGTTGCCCACGGGATCCCTCCAGCAGGATGCGCGCAAGAACTCCTCCTGCCCAAGCTCCTCAGCAACGGGCGTGTGCAGGCAGGCTGCCACTGGTGAACAAGGAAGCCCCTGGCCAGCAAGGCTAGTAGCCACTGAAAGCCTTCTCTCTCGTGCATCTGTCCAGTTCGGTTTTTTTAAGCCATCCAGACTGGGGGCCTTCACCACTTCCTGTGTTAGCAAATGCCATAGTTTAACTACACATTGTATTTCCTTTTACCTGCCCCAACCTCCCACCTGTCAGCTCCATAGGATGACCCCAGATTGAGTGTCTGGGGAGAGGGAAAACAAGGTCTCCCCCTATCCTTTCTCCATGCATTATGTCAAGCACCTCTGTTCTGTCTCCCCTTCCTTACTTTTCCTCTAAGCTGAACAGTCCCAGTCGCAGCACCTGCTCCTCACAGGGGAGCAGCTCCAGCCCCTGACCATCTTTGCTGCCCTTCTTCCGACTCAACAACATGCTTTTTCAGGTAAGGCAACCAGAACTGGGCACACTATTCCAAGGAAATGTATTAAGAAAAAGAGTAACTCAGGCAGGTAATTCAGCCTACCCTCCTCTCTAGCAGGCAATTTGTACAATCATTCCCCCCCCCCCTTATGCGCCTCCTGAAATGGTATAGTCCGGCACAGACAACCAGAAATATATTGCTTCAGCGCTCAGGAATGACTTCCTAAAGCCTAAAAAAATTAAAAGGTGACAGAGGAAACAAACTTACAGGGCACTTGTAGAACCGCCTGCTTCAGTCACTTCATGATTCAGTTTCAGGGAAATGGTTTTATCCTCCCCTCTCCCTTTGCCCCCCCCCCCATTTGCTAAATTCTCAATATTGTCCCCAAACCTATACATTCCATTTGGGATGCATTTGCATAATGTAAAAAGTATTATTCTGGCTAACAGGTGTGGAAACTATAGACAGTATGACGCATGGTTCGCATCCTACCGCGACCCCCACATGAAACACAGTTCCTTAATCCCGCCCTCGTCCAACCTGCTTCCAGGAGAAATGGTCAAAGGAATCCACAGGTGGGAGCGGCTTTACCTTGTCTGTACCTGTGCCGATGGTAATCCTCAACCTCTCCGATCTGGCTTCCCGGGACAATCTCGAGTGGGTCTGTGCCTTTGCTGGTTATCAGCCTCCACCCCATAACATCCGCTCTGGGGTCAGGTGTCACAAGCACAGCTTTGTGGGGGCACTGCTGGAATCCGTGGGACGCGTCCTCCGACGGCCCCTTTGGAATGGCAGCCCACACAGCCAGGTCAGGGCAGCAGGTGATGCTGACTTTCCTCCGGATCTTGTACAGTTTCAGATGCTTCTGGAAGGCGTCCAAGGCAGCGGCATCGCACTCCAGCACAAGGTGGGGCTCTTCTCGCGGGCTCTCGTGGATCCTGAAACGATCCGACGGCGTGAGGAAACAGAGCTGCCCTCGCCCCCGACCCAGCTCCCTCCTCTGCCGAGGGGACCTGCAGCCTTTGCGGGTGGCTGCGGTTCAGACACCCACGGCAGCTTCCCACAGCGCTGGGGAGCGAAATCTCTCTTGGGGGGAGGGCCCGCCTCGACCCCGGACAGCACTGCGGCGGTGGAAGGGCCAAAAGCGACACGGCGAAGGCAACGTACCAAAAGCACCAGCACATTTTGGCTTAGACAGAAGCAGCCTCAGGAGAGGCACTTTGACCTTTTGAAGGGGGTGGTGGGAGGACAAAGGCTGGAAAACCAGGTGGGGGAGCAATTGTGTTTTGGGCAGCTCCAGAAAGCCTGCCTGGCTCTCTCGGGTCTAAACTCTCTCCTACCTCTTCCCCACACTCGATGAAACAAAACCCAAGAAGTTCTCCTTGGCTGACTTGAATACTTTCCTTCCAAGAATGTATTAAACTACAAGGACAGTTTGAACTTATGCCCTGCTTTAAGCGTTTCAACATGTTTGTTTCTTACAAGGAACAAGTCATTTAAAACGGATACAACTGGACAAAACTTCCATTGAGTTCTATCAGCACGGAAGTAACGGAAAGTGGAATTTGCTTGGAAATGTGTTACACAGTATTTACTTGCTTGCAATTCTGCCATGGACTGTCATCAGCCTTGAAGATGCTGCCTTGCCTTGCCATGCAGACCTCGATCCAGGCGGGATAAGGAATCTGCATTTCACCCACCCAGAGGAGCTTCCATTATTTGGGGCCTGCATGCATCATATTTTAGTATGCATATTCAAGTATATTTTCATAAATTTTGCGCTTTTGGAACTTATCTAATACAGATTTTTTCCATTATATCTCAATGGTGTGTATCTGATATATCATTATTATTATTATTATTATTATTATTATTATTATTATTACATTTCTATGCCGCCCCTTGCCGAAGCCTCGGGGCGGCTTACAACACAATAAAATACATTGAAATACAATAGAACATAATAAATTACCACCAAATACAAAAATACAAAAAATACACTGAGATACAAACATAATAATATAAAATTAAAATTAACAGTATAAAATAAGTAAATAAAGAATATAGGAGGAGAAAAGAGAAGGAAGAAGAAGTTGCCCTGGCCAGATCATATATTTTAACAATTAAAATGATGTTTAAATAAAAAGGTCTTTATCTGGCGCCGAAAAACCAGTAATGACGGTGCCAGGCGGACCCGTGAAAGCAAAGCTAGAGCCTCTGCTATCTGCAAAATCTTTGCCGCTTCTATGTAGGTACCCACTTCTTGTCACAGTGGGTGCAATTCTTTTCTGTCTGTGTGGAAGGGTTGTTCCAGATGCTTTTCTATGGCCAGTACACAATTCACACTTTACCTTTCTGTGTTAGGGTATTTGAGCCTATGGGAATGAGGCAGTATGGAAAAATTAAAATAAAATCAAAGGTTGTCCTGGGTCTTGAGCGCTGCACAGAAGTATACCCTGGACCCCACCCATTGCTCAGGGGTGGAAAGGGTGTAGGGGCTTGCATGTGTGTGCAAGTTTTTCTTTGTGCATCATCACAACCGACTGCAAATCAAACCGAAAACAATTTGCTTAGAAGGCAGGATATAAAGTTAAATAAAATACTGCTTGAGACTGAATGGCAAAACCCACCGTGACCTGGGTTGCATGATGGCAAAATCTGGGCTATTTAACCCCTAATTTGCCCTAGAATGCTGGACACATTCTGTGGCCATTTTAAATATTCAGTCCTCAAATGGGCTCATTGGGGTTTGCTAGGCGACATCGAAACACTTAAATCATGGGTTAAACAATGCACAGAAGGGTTCAATATTCAGAAAGGCTGCAGAAGGTGCTCAGCACATGCCATGGCAAATCGTGTATTAATTAATGCAGGTTTCATCAGTGCTGTGTGCAAACAGCCTTACTGTCAATGGTGCACTCATGTCTAAGTGGCTAGACTCTTCATGGAATAAACACAGGATCAGAAAAGGATAGGAAGCTGAAGTCAGAATGTATTGCTAATTTATATATTTTTATCTATAGCGCGCCTTTGACCCTTTCAAGGCACTCAAGGCGGCTCCCATCCTTCTCCCACTCTCCATTTCATCCTCGCCACAACAACCCTGTGAGGTGGGTCGGACTGAGTCTGTGACTCGGGGAGTTCCGTGCCTGAGCGGGAACGAGAACCCCCGGGTCCCAGTCCGGCCATTACAACACACTGACTCTGCGCGGGGCGAAGCCGCGCGTGCGCCTTGGAGCCCCGGGGCCCGTCGGCTGCGAGCGGCGCCCCGATCCGCCCAGGTGAGGGCAAGCGGCGCGGCTCGGGCGCCCGCGGGCGCCCCCGGCCCGCTGCCAGGGCGGCGCTCACCTGTACAGGATGACGTCATAGAGGCACCTCCCCGGGACGTTGAGGGCGTGCGCGTAGAGCGCGCGAGGCGCCTCCGGGGCTCCGCCCACCGCTGCGAGGCGCGACACGTCATTGGTCAGCAAGCCCTGGAGGAAGGGCTCCGCTTCGGGGCCTTGGAGACGGAGCAGCGCGCGGCTCAACGGGAAGCAGAGGGTGGCGGCGGCGGCGGCGCCTTCCTCGCTCGCTGTCTTCGCTTGTCCGCTCAGGCACAAGGTGCGAGGGAAAGCCCACCGCATCGATCCGCTCGCCCTCACCAGCATGGCGGCCCGAGAAAACGCCAAGGGTGACGGTGCCATCCTCCCCGCCGCCATCTTGTGCGTGGCACAGTGTGAGGGAGAGGCGAAAGGGGAAGGTGGGCTGAGTGCGCATGCGCAGCCTCGGTCGCCAGAGCGGGGAGGAGCTGTTGCCCGAAGCCCCATTTCTCATTGGCTCAGACGCTTGCCTATTAGTTCGAGCAGCCACTGTGTTCGCGCCCTGGCAAGAGCTTGCAGCTTTCAACATTGCATTCCGGGAACTGTAGTCCAACGCATCTAGAGGTCACCAGGTCCTTTATTCTATGGTACTCCTCTTACTGCCTTCAGCTGAAAAAGGTGATCAGGAGGGGCTTATGTACCAACAAGAGCAACAAGTTTGTCCTTGATGGCGGGTTCAGAAAAGCCACAGCACAAAAAGAAAAGGACGAGGAGAGAAGAGGAAAACAAGCAAGCTCAATCAAGTCCGTGTGTACTGGCTGACCAGGAAGCCCGGAGAGGATCTAGGGACAGGGAAACTAGATTGCGCTGGTCTTTCAGCAGAGCTGCTTCCCAAATCTCCCTCTGCTGCAGCCTAGCAAAAGTGCTGCTAGGTAACTGTGAATCCTGTTGGCCTTCCTGGGGCAGTTCAGGAATTCTTGTTCACAGAACTGGAAGGCACTCGATCTGGGAAAAGCTTCTGTGCTTGTCAGTGCACTGTAACAAAAGCAAGCCCTTCAAGGACTTTGCATTCTAAAAATCAGCACAGAGCACAAGTAGGCAGCCTGTGGCCTTGGAGGCCTTGAGTACGGCCTTTAAAAAGCAAAAGAAAAAAAAGCCAGGTTTCCCCACAACTGCTGATCCAGCAAAGTCACTCGGCACAATACCCTATGTGTTCGGAAAGAAAAAAGTCCTACAGCTCCCAACGTATTTAAGTGGTGGTAGCTTTCTAACATTTGCTTTGAATACGCTTTGCAATGCTATGGTAACCTTGTATGGTCGTCTTTTATGATGTCTTTTATTGCTGCTTGTCTTTTATATTGTATTTTATCTGTCGTAAACTGCCCAGAGCATTCCCAGTATTGGGTGGTATAGAAATTAAATTAAACAAACAAACATATGCATGTTCACTCAGAAGAAATGGGGCTTCCTGTCAAAGTGTACATAGCTTTGAAATGCAGTGGGACTCATTTTGATGTGTCTGTGCCCCGCCAGTTATGGGCTTTGCCTTCTTGCCTCAGACAATAAAAAAAAAATTGTTAAGGCCCAAGTCTCAGCTTTTCAACACAAGAACAACACAAATCCAAACGTGAATGCACTACCCAAGAGAGGCACTCCTGCCAAACTCCATGCGGCATTTTGTGTGGCTCCCAACACTTGCATCTTTCAACACTGCATGAGCTGTTGCAGACAGGCTGGGTTGCACTTACGGTCATTGTGGTCTCAGCGCAACTCCAGGGCACTGGGTTCCAGAAGCGCGAGCAACCAGCCGGATATGCATGATCAATCAAGCACATTGGCTTAGCTTATTCCCCCACATGCAGTCCATGAAGATGTAAGTTTTTTAAAGCAAAGTGTCTTCTGCCTCTACCTCTTTGCAAGGACAAAGTCCCACATCCATGAAAATAACCGTGTGGTTGCATGGAAAGTAAGTTATTCTAAAGCAGGGAGCTGGAGTCCAGTTTTTAACAGGCTGCAGAGTCCCTCCCTCGGTTGTGAAGCATACTTGGGTCTTGTGATCACCGGCCCTCCCTGAAAAATGCACAATTCTTGCTGCACAATCAACAAATTGAGAGTTTCATTCCATTTTATTAATATTGGACTGTCAGCTTCCAACAGTTTTGTATTATTTTAATTCCATGTTGTTATTCTTGGACCCTGAACATCCAGCAGTTTAATGCTGTTTTTCAGTGTTCTATCGTTCTAAGAACAATTCGGCAGTAACACTTACATTAAAAAAATATTTACAGAAACAAAAATCCATTTTATACTGTTTCTCATACAGCTTGCCAAGTTAGTACAAAAGAAGAAGACAAAAGCATGGAAACGTCGTAACAATATAGATCTTTTATGGCCTTTTAATTTCAAGTATTTTCCAGGGGAGCGGAATGTGTGACAGCATAATCTGGCCTTCACTGTTTTGGTTTTAAACTTGAAACCGTCTCGTCGCTCTCTTAACTGCTACAACTTCCTCTAGAAAAGCCTGCAGACTCCACTAGAGCCCTGCGATTCATCTGTGGCAGATCTCTTCCAGGAAGGCCTTTACAGTTTAATTCATGGGCTGGGCGAGGCTTTTTTCAGCACCCTAAATTCCTAATTGTGTGGCGATCAGCAACATCACCCTTTCCCGCCCGCTGCCTTCTCCCTGGGGCTGCCGGCTATGTCTCCCATCACTCAGGCACATGGGAGAGGTAGTCTGATACGCCTGGAGGCTGACCCAGGAATTTCTTTTGAAAACCTTCTGCATTCTGATGCACCAGCAGTGGCATGAAAAACAGTGTCCTTCAATGGCCTTATAGCCTTCGCCCTATGGCCTGAGTGCTGAAGCACAGGCATGGCAGCCGAATCCAGCCCTCTGCCGTTTGCCGGTGGGCACACCATTTTCTTCCTGACCACCAATCATTTGCAAATGGCTTATGGGCTTGCATGCAGTTTCCCCCCCTCTTCTAAAGGGTCCTCTCCATTTCGGTTACTGGCATTAAAAGCTTCCAGCCAAAACACGCTGGCATTTTCAACCCCCGGTACATGTGGCCCTGCTGGTTACTGGAATGCAGCCCAAGAGTTTCTTTGAACTGGGACTCGGCTTTTGGGTTGAAAATCCAGCACCCATCCTGTGGATTCTGTGCAATCGAACTGGAGTGTAAACTGAATTAACTGTTTATCTTGGTCCAAAAAAGGTAATTTGCAGAACCATCTCTGCATCCATAGAAAACTGAACACTCCTAGGCAGGTGGTTCTTGTAATTGTTCCTTTCTTTTCCCACTTCCAGAATGAGATTATCAGCCCTGGCTTGTAGGAAATGGCTGGAAAACTTGAGGAGCCTGAACAACCTTCTCTCCCTCCTTACTCTAGAGTTGTGCTGGGCAAGAACTTCGAGGAGGATGGGCTGATCCACTCAACCACCTGGACACCGTGAAATCACTGCCGGACAAAGTGTTTTTTCTTGTGTCGCCCTTTTCACATCCGCCTTTCGAAACACAGCAAACTAATCCCAGTATATCCAAGCACTGATCCCAGTCCTGGACAGAGAGGTAAAACAAAAATCTATTGGGAATTAACTATATGTCCCAAACATATAGAATATAATGAATAAACAGCATCTTTTTTTCACTTTGTCCCCCAGAAGAGATTCAGCAAGGTCGCTAAATGTTCATTCTGGGGCCAGAAGCAAGGAGAGGAGGCTGTACCTGTTGCATTGTTGATCTGTTTGTGTTCTTCTGTTAGTGCGGAGGGTGACGACTTTGACTTGACTTCCTTGCTCACATGTCCCAATCTGGTCCAAGGTGGTCCTGCAGCCCTTTCCCAGCCTTTTCCCCAATATATCAGTTAGTGGGTGGTATCGTGCAGCCCCCCCATATGGGCTGAGTGACTACCATGCGAAAGCTTTGAGAACAATAGGCCCGTATTTTTGGCATTTTGTCCCCACCCAGTACTGGAATGTTGTACTCCCCCCCCCGCAAAGTTTTTCTGCAACATAATTTGACCTTGGGGTGAAAAAAAGATTTGCACCCCTTCTGTGGGCCATTGTGCTTTTCAATGTGGAGGCAGCTCCGACCTTAAATGCCTTCTATTGTCCCTCAGGGCTGCATAAACGTGTATATACCTATTGTTTTCCGGGGGTGGCTTGCTATGTGCTAACCAGTATACCAGAAATGTGGGGAGAAAGCGTAGGGCATCTCGTCCTGCCCGTGAGCATCTGAAGGCCAACGAGCGGCCTACTCTCAGAAACAGACGCTGGCTCTGCAGGGCTGTTCGTAGTATGTTCGGGATTCCATTTCTGTTCGGTGTTAGCCTGGAGTGGCAGCATTTGCTCCGGGGGGGGGGGGGGCAATGCTGCACCACGCCTAAACTGCACCCCCAGCTCAAAACCTCCCCGCAGAGGAGCCCATATAAATGACCAACGCCCTGCTTTGGGGCTTGTCTTCCTGGACCTTCGCCCCCAGCCGTGCCCCTTGGCAGTTTCATTCCACAGAGGAATGGGACAGCCTTCCTTAGGGCTGATTTTTCCCTACACAGTGTGTGTAGAGAGAGAGAGAGAGAGTTGGAAGCGTGCTGCCCTGTTAAAGCTACTGAAGGCACTTTGGTTTAGGGACGAACCCCTCCTCACCCCGAATGTTGAACAAATGCAACCTTACGACCTGCTATGACGTCGGCCAAACTGCCACGCACCTCAGTCCCAGTCCGCTTCTCCGGCATCTTGCCGACACATGAACGAGTAAATAGCATGCATCTCTGACGTGGTGACTCACGAAAAGCAAGAGGAGAAATCCGAGGGGTTATTTCCAAGACTTCAGCTGCGCGTCTGAAAGCTCAACCCTGCTGAACGAGTTAACCCTACCATCACAACAGCACAGAGCATCCGGGTCTGTGCGCCTTTCGCTTGGTACCGTGCTCCTCGTATGAACGACAGCCGCTCTGCAGCATGTGGAGGCATGCCGTCTTCCACAAGTTAGTAATTAATTCAGTTAGGGGTTATTTTAGTCGTCAAAAATGCATCAGATAAGACGAATGGTTCCAGATCCCTTACCTCTAGACTATGTCCTTGGATACGGGACCCCAGTTTTCTCCCTGGGCAAAACAAAGGGACCCAAACTTACACGGAAAGGTGGAATGCAGTGGTGGGTCAGCCTTTAGAAAGACCCCCACCAGAGGCGATGTAAACTGAGCAAGAAATCGGGGAATTCTTGGTGACAAGGGAAGAGAACACGTGGCCGATCAGCAAGGGGATGGCGACAGAAGCAGGCAGGGTGGCCGTGTGGGGGGCACAGAAAGGAGGAAAGAGAAGGAATCGGGAGGCAGAGAAATGAAGGAGACAGGAAAGCGGGGGCTATGCCGAAGAGCAGGCTGGGGAGGCGGCCACAGGGCAGGGGTCACCGGAGAGCCCGGAGAGACTGTCCTTTCCTCAGGAACCTTGAGTCGGGGGCCACCCCTGGTGATCAGCACCCCCTTTCTGTCTGCCAAGGGACAACGCCCCGGAACCTTCTACGAGAGAGCAAGCACGCGCACGAGGGCCAAGCACGTGAGCCTTCCCTCCGGAGGAGCGAGGAGCGGCTCCCTCTTCCCAGACGTTGCGCGAGTAGCGTAGCGGGGAGGCGGCAGCGGGCTGCGGTGACGCCTGGCCAGCCACCCCCTGCAGCGCCCGGCCAGGCCTTCCGGCTGCGACGGCCCCACGCCAGCGCTCCCTGGGACGACACCCTCGGCGACGGGAGGGTGCCGCTCCCCGCTGAAGCCCCGGCCCAGGCCTATATCCACACAGAGTTCTTCCCGTCCTTGCCGTTGGCGCTCCCCTTCTCCGAACCGGCCCTGGGCTTGGCCCCGTGCTTCTCCTGCACGGCGTTGGCGCGGTTCTGCTCGGCCACGGTGCCCCCGGAGGCGGGGCTGCCGGTCCGCGAGGCCTGCGCGGCCGCCCGGGTGTTACTGCAGCTCTGGAAGGCGACGTCCAGCTGCTCCTGGGCCCCCTGCAAGTGCTTGTGCAGGGCGGACAAGTCCGGCAGGACGTTCTCGTCCGGGCTGGCGCAGTGCTGCTCCTGGGCCACGTTGGCCAGGTTCTGCTCGTGCGCCATCAGGCTGTTGGGCACCCTGGGCTGCTTGTCCGCCTTGACCACCAGGTTGTACTCCGGGGGGTAGGAGATGTTCTTCGGGTAGGCGGCGTAGTTGTAGGGGGCCTGCCGGAAGCTGTGTACCTTTCGCTCCCGGAGGGCGTCCCGGATGGTGCCGACGCCCAGGTGGCACATCTCGGCCAGGTTGAGGAGGAGGCAGAGGCAGCTGACCACGTACATCACCAGCAGGAAGATGGTCTTCTCGGTCGGCCTGGAGACGAAGCAGTCCACGTCGTGCGGGCAGGGGTCCCGGCTGCACAGGTAGTACGGCGTCACCTCGAAGCCGTAGAGCATGTACTGGCCTATCAGGAAGCACACCTCGAAGGAGGCCCTGGTGAGCAGCTGGAAGACGTAGATCTTCATCAGGCCCTCCTCCTGGATGTGTCGCCGGCCGTCGTGCTTCTGCTGGTCCTTCTTCTTCTTCTTCTCCTCCTCCTTCGTGCTGGCCTTCTCCTCGCGCTCCCCAGCCTCCTCCACGATCATGGGCTCCTCCTCGTCCGCCCCCAGGGGGTCTTCCAAATTGCGGGCCGGCTGCCAGTTGAGGGCAAACTGCTTCTTCTTCTTGAAGGCCTGGGTCCGTCTCTTCTCCTCCTCGGAGGACCTCGCGATCCTGTGGATGGCATAGCCCAGGTAGATGACGGACGGGGTGGAGATCATGATGATCTGGAAGACCCAGAAGCGGACGTGCGACAGCGGCGCGAAGGCGTCGTAACAGACGTTGTCGCAGCCAGGCTGCTTCGTGTTGCAGGTGAACTTGCTCTGCTCATCCGAGTAGATGGACTCGCCTCCGACGGCCGTCAGGACGATGCGGAAGACGATCAGGACCGTCAGCCAGATCTTCCCCACGAAGGTGGAGTGGTTGTGGATTTCTTCTAGCAGGCGTGTTAGGAAACTCCAGCTCATGTTGGTCATAGGGGCTAATCATTTAGGACCTGCAGGGAGACAAAGCATTTGGGGCACGGTCAGTCCCGATCTGCCGCACAGAAGCGCCTGCTCCGCCCGGGGGGCAGCACTTTCCCACGGCACGAGGGTGCAGAACCCCTTCGGCCCGGAGATGGTATTCAAAGCTGGAGAAGCACAGGGGACTGCGCCCCAGGCGTGGCTGAGGCCGACGGCAACAGGGGAGTGGGGGAAAGGACCTGCATCTATCACCTTAAAGAGCTTACTGCCAGTTAAATAAGCCTTAGGAGGGCCATTTCAGCCTTTCTGAATGGCAACGGAACTGTGCAAAAACCGGGCACTGCCAAGTGATCAGCAGGCGGGGAAAGCAGGTGAGCCCAGGAGGAGAGACACAGGATCAGGATCTCTAGGGGCTGGATCTGGCCCTCAGGCCTGAGTTTTGGCACCCATTTTCAGGGCTGTGTACATACTGCTTTCTTAGTAATCCCCCTTGAGCACCAAATTTCACACCTGCAATTCCTTTTATCTAAGCTAAGATAGATAAAAGGAATTTAGCTAAGGCTGTTTTACCAGCTACGACCCTCTCTGGATAGGCAGAACCTGGTAAGGGTCATTCACGTACTGGTATCCTCTTGCTTAGATTACTGCAATGCGCTCTACGTGGGGCTTCCCTTGAAGACAGTCCAGAATCTGCTGGCAAGGACTGGAGGAAATCTTTTTCTTTTCCTGGTATTTTAACTGTTAGAATGATTTTACTGGTTTTAGTATTTTATTCTTGGCTGTAAATTATTGTTCTGCCTTTTATGCAGATCTATTGTCTTGTGGAGTTTTAACACCGCCTGGTTTTACTTGTTAGATTCTTAGATGTGATTTTAGTGTTACATCAGTATTTTTATAGTACATTTTTATTTTACTGTATCATTTTTAAATCATAAGCCACCCAGGAAACCTTATGTCTAATGGGGAGGGACAAAAGTCTAACAAATGAATAAATTATGCAAACGATTTGTGGCATAGATTATGAACATGAAGCTCCTCTGCAAAGGTGCTTTCTTATGCATTATTTTCTTCTTATGCATTATTTATCTTGCCTTTGAATGCCGGGGCGACAGAGTTGTCCACACACAGGAGGAGAAAAACCGCTGCTTTTGCTCTGGGGTGTCCCCACCCGCAGGGACGGGTCTCAGCCCGGCTCGGAAGGAGACCAGCCAAAGACAAGGACTCACCGCCCTGTTCTAGTGATCTTGTGGTCCAGCAGGCAATTAGCACAGCTGCTTTCGGGCGATCACATGGGGCGGCCTTGGGGTTGTTTGAAGAAGAATTACACTAGAACAGAGGTGCCCTGTCGCAGCTGCCCAGGCATTGCCGGGGATGAAACATTAAGGCAGGGAGTCTCCCCGTCACACACTCAAAACCTTGGCATGCGATCTTTCCTTAGCAGTGACAATGCGGACCACGCTTCGGGCCCGCCAGGGGGAAGCTAGAATGGAAATCATTACAAGACCTGATGCTTGGCCTTTCTGTCATGCTTTAGGCGGACTCTCCCAAGTGAGAGCCTTCCAGAGGCGTTGGATTGCCGCTCCCATCCTTCCCAGTGTGAGAGTTATGGGAGTTATAGTCCAACACTTCTGAAGGGCACCAACTTGGGAAAGGCTGCTTTAGTGTCCAAAGCACTTAAAAGGGACTGTCTCGGTTGTTCTTACAACAGCCCTGCAGTGCAGGACGCAGGCGAAGCTGCACAGAACGGGAGAGGACTGGGGAAGGAGTCCAGGGGTCTGGGATACAGCTCAGAGGAGAAGAAAGCTCTTCTGAGGCTCCTGCCCCAATTCCAAGGGAACCCCAGAAGCAGATGCCGAGCGGCCTTCCCGCCAGTGCCGGGGGCCATCCCAGGAGGCGGGAGAGCGTCAAGTGCCCCATCGCTGCCCTGGCTGCTAAGCGGCGGTCGGCTGGAGGTGGGCAAAGGACAGCAGGGCACGAATGAGAATCGCTCAGCGGGGAAAAGGGGCTTCGGAGTGGCCTAGATTCCAAGCATGGCCGATGTAAAGGGTTCCTTGTATAATGGGAGTTGTAAGGACGGCTTTGTTCGAAGCGTGACTAATCAGCAGTAATGGACTCGCTCCTCTTGCAAATTCATTTCTGCACCACTCTTGCGCTGGGTGGGCTTGGGCGGCCACGGTATCTCAAACCAGGCTTCATACTTGGAGGCATGTGACATGGCAGGGCTGGGCCGAGCGACCTTCTTTCTTGGAAATATAATGCAGTTTTATAACACAGCGGATGAGCAACTCAGTCCTAAGCAACTCAGGACAGGGAGGGGGCACCATGTGGCTCCAACAGGCACCCTCACCAGTGCCGTGGAGGGATCAAGGCACAGGCCGCAGGCTTGCCTTCTCCCCGCTCCACGAGGCTGCGGCGCATGTGTGAGCATCGGCTCCGTCGGGCAGCGCTGCCCTTGCTTCCACGGCCCCCTGCCCGATGGCAGCCAGGACACCTTTGCAACACACGCGAGCACGTCGCGAAGTCATGGGGCCACGTCACGTGGCCAGAGGCGTGTGGGCGGGGTGTGTGTCAGAGTGACCACTGCAGAGATGCTTCTGCACGGCTGATCCCACACGTGCAGGCCACTGCAGGACCGCACGCCACCCCGCGGTGCCTTACGAAGTGTGGCTCCCGTCACACCATTCCCCAGAACCGTGCCCCGAAGGAGTCAAAGCCCCCAGACCTCTCTGTAGATCCGTATCAGAAATCCAGCTTCCCAGCCGTTTCCATCTCCAGCAGAAGCGGGGCGTTTGCAAACCGAATGGGGCTTTGTCCACCCAGTTCCAGAACACCTGGCGTTGCGACTGGCAACCTCACATCCATGCACAATTGCCGGGGAAAATCGTCCCCATCTCTGTGAGGTGGCCGTTAAGTTCAGAGGGATCCGGGAAGCCTTGTCCTGCCACGACTACGTCACAGATGCTTCTGTCTTGCCTCTGAAAGGCAACTCGAAGGGCTGTTCCTGGAACGGCTGAACGTGGCAGGTGAGAACCCTCCGAGAAGCATGTGCCCCAAATGGTGGAAAGGGGCCCGTTCCGCCTCCCGCGTGGACCCTCCTGCACTCCAGGCGGACCTTTCACAGCGCCCTTCCTCCTAGGGCTCCTCCTGGAACAAGCCAGGGAAGCCAAGCGGGGGGACACACCCTTCCAAAAGCGGGGCACTTCCCGTGCCTCCCCTCCCCTCCCCTCCCCTCCCCTCCCCTTTTTTTTTTTTTTTTTTTTTTTTTTTTTTTTTTTTTTTT